CCTCGTTCTCCTGGGCCAGCGGGGTCAGCGGCAGCCGGGGCACCCCGGGGCCACCAGGGTGTCCTTGGGGCCACCAGGGCACCAACGGGGTAACCAGGGCACCCTCAGGGCAACCAGGGCACCCCCGGGGTAACCAGGGCACCCTTGGGGCAACCAGGGCACCCTCGGGGGTTTTGGGGGGTCATGGGGTCACCAGGACACCCCCGTGGGCACTCAGGGGCCACCCCAATGTCCCCACAAAGGGGCACAGGGGGGGCCATGAGAGCACCCCCTTCCAGGGCCAGGGCACACCCCCGATGTCCCCAAGTGTGTCACTGTCCTCGATATCCAGTGTCCCCTCCCTGCTGTCCCCAGGTGTGTCCCCGCTGTGTCCCCCATATCCCCAGATGTGTCCCAGCTGTGTCCCAGCTGTGTCCCAGCTGTCCCCAGCTATCCCAGGTGTGTCTGAGGCTGTCCCTGCTGTGCCCAGGTATGCCCAGGTGTGTTCCAGATGTGTCTGAGGCTGTCCCTGCTGTCCCCAGGTGTGTCCCAGCTGTCCCAGGTGTGTCCCTGCTGTCCCCAGGAGTGTCCCCAGCTGTTCCAGGTGTGTCCCCAGCTGTCCCCAGGTGTGTCCCCAACTGTCCCCAGCTGTCCCAGGTGTGTCCCAGCTATCCCAGCTGTGTCCCTGCTGTCCCCAGGTGTGTCCCCAGCTATCCCAGGTGTGTCCCCAGCTGTCCCCAGGTGTGTCCCCAGGTGTGTCCCCAGCTATCCCAGGTGTGTCCCCAGCTATCCCAGCTGTGTCCCCGCTGTCCCCAGGTGTGTCTGAGGCTGTCCCCAGGTGTGTCCCCGCTGTCCCAGGTGTGTCCCTGCTGTCCCCAGGTGTGTCTGAGGCTGTCCCCAGGTGTGTCCCCGCTGTCCCAGGTGTGTCCCTGCTGTCCCCAGGTGTCCCCAGCTATCCCAGCTGTGTCCCTGCTGTCCCCAGGTGTGTCCCCAGCTATCCCAGCTATGTCCCCGCTATCCCAGGTGTGTCCCCGCTGTCCCCAGGTGTGTCCCCGCTGTCCCCAGCTGTGTCCCTGCTGTCCCCAGGTGTGTCCCCAGCTATCCCAGCTATGTCCCCAGCTATCCCAGGTGCGTCCCCGCTGTCCCCAGGAGTGTCCTCAGCTGTTCCAGGTGTGTCCCCGCTGTGTCCCCAGCTATCCCAGCTGTGTCCCCGCTGTCCCAGCTGTGTCCCCGCTGTCCCCAGGTGTCCCCACCTGCGCCACGCGGATGATGTCGGGGATGTGCAGGTAGGCCTGCACGGGGGGCAGCCCCCGCCCCACCAGGTACGCCTCGTCCGCCTTCTGCCGGTGCATCTGCCCCGTGTCCTGCTCCGAGTACACGGCCACCGTGCGGATCCCCAGCTCCGTGCAGGCCCGGAACACGCGGATGGCGATCTCCCCTGGGGACGTGGGGACGTGGGGGACATTGGGGACAGCCCAGGGGCAGCCCGGGGATACCCGAGGGACACCCAGGGACACCCCAGGGACACCCGGGGACACTCAGGGACACCCGAGGGACACCCCAGGGACACCCAGGGACACCCCAGGGACACCCGGGGACACTCAGGGACACCCGAGGGACACCCCAGGGACACCCAGGGACACCCGGGGACACCCGGGGACACTCAGGGACACCCGAGGGACACCCCAGGGACACCCCAGGGACACCCTGAGGACATGGGGACACCCCAGGGACACCCCAGGGACACCCAGGGACGCCCCCGGGACACCCCAGGGACACCCTGAGGACATGGGGACACCCCAGGGACACCCCAGGGACACCCAGGGACACCCAGGGACACCCAGGGACGCCCCCGGGACACCCCAGGGACACCCTGAGGACATGGGGACACCCCAGGGACAGCCCAGGGACAGCCCAGGGACACCCAGGGACACCCTGAGGACATGGGGACACCCCAGAGACACCCAGGGACACCCCAGGGACAGGGACATCCCCGGGACGGGGACACGGCCACTGTGCGGATCCCCAGCTCCACGCGCACAGCCAGGACACGCGGACGGTGACTTCACCTTGGGGACAGGGACATTGGGGACATTGGGGACACTCTGGGGACACTCTGGGGACACTCTGGGGACACATCACAGGCACTGGGACATGGCACGGGGACAGGGACACGGCCACCGTGCGGATCCTGAACTCTGTGCACGGCCAGGACACGTGGATGGTGACTTCACCTTGGGGACATGGGGACACCCTGGGGACACCCTGGGGACACCCTGGGGACACTCTGAGGACATGGGGACACCCTGGGGACACTCTGGGGACATGGGGACACCCTGGGGACACCCTGGGGACACTCTGAGGACATGGGGACACCCTGGGGACACCCTGGGGACACTCTGGGGACATGGGGACACCCTGGGGACACCCTGGGGACACTCTGGGGACACCCTGGGGACACTCTGGGGACACTCTGGGGACATTCTGAGGACATGGGGACACCCTGGGGACACTCTGGGGACATTGGGGACACAGCTTGGCCACCTCACTGGGGCCACACCGGCTCCGGGCCGGGGGGATTAAAGGGACATTGGGGGATCCAGAGGACACGGGGGGGCTCAGGCGGTTTGGGAGTCCCGGGGGTGTCCCAAGGGTGTCCCGGGGTGTCCCGGGGGTGTCCCGGGGATCCCGGGGGGTCCCGGGGGTGTCCCGGGGGTGTCCCGGGGTGTCCCCAGCACTCACCCCGGTTGGCCACCAGGACCTTGCGCAGGGGTCGGGCGCTGCTGTGGGGTCGGGCGGGCCCGGGGGGGCCCCGGAGCAGCCGCAGCCCCAGGAGGGGGCGCCCCCCGCGGGGGCGGCACAGCTGGAACATCTGGGGGGCAAAAGGGGGAAAAGGGGGGGTCAGTGCGACCCCAACCCCCCCTCGGGGTCAATCCCCCTCCCCTCCCCCGCTCCCCTCTGCCCCACTGACCTTTGACCCCCCCCTTGATTAAAAAAAGCCCCTGGGGCTCCCCCCCTCCCCCACTCCCCTCTGCCCCACTGACCTTTGACCTCCCCCACCCCCCCTCCCCTTGCACGGGGGTCTCCCCCCAAAATCTCCCCCAAAATCCCCCCCAAAATCCCCCTTAAAATGCTCCCAAATCTCCTCCCCCCACTTTGTACGAGGGTTTTTACACAAGTCGCCCCCCCCCCCCTTTTGCACACTCAGGGTCCTGCCCGGGCTTGTCCCCCCCTTGCACAATCGCCCCCCCCTTGCACAACCCCCCCTTGCACAACCCCCCCAAATTCGAACCCGCGACCCCCTCTCCCACCCCCCAATTCCGCCCCCCCAGCCCCGGTACCGTCCCCGCGCTGTCCCCCGGCCGTGTCCTGTCCCTGTCCCCTCTCCGCTGTCCCCTCCCTCCCTCCCGAGCCCCTCACCGACCCCACCGACCCCCCCCCAACCCCCGGGGCTCCCCCGCCCCCTCCCGCAGCCCCCGCCCCCAATTCCGCCCCCCCGTTAATCATTGACCGGGGCTGGGGGGGCAAAGTCCGGCCGGGGGGGCACCGGGGGGCACCGGGGGGCACTGGGGCTCCACGGGGGGGGCTCGAACCTTATGGGGGGGTCACGGGGGGGTGTCGGGCCCTATAGGGGATCCCAAAGGGGGGTCCCGGGCCCCATAGGGGGTCACAGGCCCTATAGGGGATCCCAAAGGGGGTCCCGGGCCCCAACAGGACCTATAGGCGATCCTATGGGGGGTCCCAAAAGGGGCCCAATGGGGGGTCCCGGGACCCACAGGGCCTCTGAGGACCTATAGGGGGTCCCGGGCCCTATAGGGGATCCTGAGGGGGATCCTATAGGGGGTCCCACGGGGGGTCCCCGGTTCCGGGGCTCGCGGTTAGCGGGGGAGGTCGCGGGGGTCGCAGCCCCCGCGCTGGGCAGGCGGCCCGGCCCCTCCTCCCCCCCGGGGCTGCCCTGCACGGCCGGGGCCATGTCGCGATAGTCGGGCGATACCGGAGGTCACGTGGTGCCCACTCACCGCTCCGCGACCGCCGCTTCGCCCCGCGGCCCGGCGGCCCCGCTGGCCCCGCCCCCTCTCACCCCATTGGCCGCCCGCCAGCGGCCACGCCCACTGTCAGCGGAGGCCACACCTCTTTCCTCAAACCTGGCTTTTCATTGGCCCGGACGCCTCCGCCCTCACCTCGCTATTGGCTCAATCAAATGTCACGCATTCCCCAGGCCACGCCCCCTCCCCTCCTCGCATGAGAAGGCGTGGCCATGTGACGTCACGGCCAAGCCTCCCGCTGCCATTGGCGGCTCCGCGGGCGGGCGGGGCCAAGGAGAGGGGCGGGGTCGGGTGATCTCACGTGATGTCGGCGGGCCCCGCCCTATTCCGGTTGTGCGGTCCGGTCCTCCCGCCCGCCAGGGGGCGCGCTTTGCCCGCCATGACGGCGCTCTCTGGGCCTCCAGGAGCTCTCTATGGCCCCCTCCCCACCGAGGTCCCCCCCACTCCGCAGTCGGGCGCTCTGCGGCCCCTTCGCCCCCCTCAGGCAGCGGTGCTGCGCTGCCCCCACACAGGGGAAGGAGCTGGCACCTCCCTGCCCTTCAGCAGGGTGCAGGCGTCTCCCCCCGCCCTCTAAGAAGCGTCCTACGGTCCCTCAGCGCCTTCAGGAGCGCATTCTCCCCTGACACTGGAGTGCGGAGGTGCAGAGCCCCCAAAACGCTCCTCCCTCACAGGAACCCCCCAAAACCCCTTACCCTTGTGCGGGGCGCTCCTGGGACTACAACTCCCGTCGTTCATCGCGCCGCTGCAGCCACGCGCAGGCGCAGCTTCTCCCCCCTCCCCGCGCTGCTGCCATGGCAACTGCGGGAGCGCCCCTCCGTTCTGCTCATGCGCATCAGCGCCGAGCTGCGGCGGAGAGGGCGGCGCGCGGCCATTGCGTGGCGCTGATTGGTTCAAACGCGCAGGCCCCGCCCAGCTGCAGCAGGTGAGGGGCGCTGATTGGTGCGCTGGCGCCGGCCACGCCCCCGGCGGCACCGCCCCCCCCGCAGTCGGGGCGCGGCCGCCGCCCCGCACGGACGGGCTCGCTCCGCGCTCCGCCATGGCTGACTCCGCCGCGCAGTCCTCGCTCGTCTCCTCCAGCTCCTCTGCCACCTCCGTCACCTCCTCCTCCTCCTCCTCCTCCTCCTCCTCCTCCACGCGGGCCGGGGGCTGCGTGGGCGGCAGCTCCATGTCGTGCGCCGGTAAGGGCCGGGCGGGGCCTGAGGGGGGTGAGGAGGGTGAGGCCTCGGCGGGGGCGTGAGGGGAAGGAGCCCTTGGGCGTTGGGTGTGAGGCAAAAACGGGGCAGGAGGGGCAGGAATGGGGGGGAAAGGCCTTAGGGGGGCGGTTATTGGGGGCAGGAGGCGTTTGGGGGGCAGGTCTGGGGGGAGGCGGCGTTTGGGGCTCGGTGTGAGGGGAAAAGTCTTTGAGAGGGGGTCAGGAATGGCGGGGGGGGGGAAATGAGGGAGAAAAGGCCTTGGAGGAGCAGATTTTGGGGAGCAGAGACTCCCGGGGGGGTTGGGGGATGACGGGGCCTTTTGGGGGTGGGTGCGAGGTTAGGAGGCTTGGGGGCAGAAATGGAAGGTTAAAGAAGTTTTAGGGTAAAACAGAGGGGAAGTGGCTTTTGGGGGAGCACGTTTTGGGGGGAAAGATGCTTTTAGGGGGATTTTACGGGGGAAAAAAGTTTTTAGGAGGATTTTAGAGGACAAAGAGGCTTCGAAATGGAGATTTGGTTGGTGGAGAAGCTTTTTAGAGGCCGGTTTTGATGGGCAGCGACACCTCCAGCCCCACATCTCTCAGGAAAATGGGGGAAAATGCCCAGGAAAAGGGAGCGTGGATGTTTCTGGGGTCGTTGGGGACCTGCTGCTCCGTCCGTCCTTCCCTGGAATTTTGGGGAGGGGGAATTTCACTTTCACATTCCAGCGATCATTCCAGAGCATCCAGGACTTCCCCCCCAAAGTTCCCACCTGGACACCCCGAAACTCCGCGGTTTCACCCCAAACCTCGCCCTGGGGGGGTTGCAGCGCCGAGAAGGGCGGGTGGGAATTTCGGGGTGACCCCCGGGACCCCTCCCTGCGTCGTTCCCCGCCCCAGAGCCGGGAAATTGAGGTGAAAGCCCCCAAAATCGGCTCCAGGCTGGAATTTTCCCGGTGGTTTTTGCGTCACCCTGAAGCTGCTCCGCGCCGGCCCCGCCTTCTGGGGGGGGTTCGGGGGATTTTGGGGGGTGCTGAGCTCTCATCCTCTGTGTTCTCTTGCAGATCCCCCCAATTCTTCCTCTTCCTCCTCCTCTTCCTCCTCCCAGCCCGTTTCTCTCTTTGCGGCTTCACCAGGCAAGTCTCCCCCTCCCTCCTTCCCTTTTTTCCTGCACCCCCAGGAAGAAAAATGTCTGAGGGGGGCGGGGGGGTGAAGCCCAGACCCTAAAAAATCCCCCTGGATTTTGGGGAAGGGTCCCCAGAGCCATTTCGGGGCTCCCCGAGGTCACTTTGGGGTCTCGGTGTCACATCAAAGGGGGGATTTCTCCCCAAAATAGCCCCTGGATTTTGGGGGGTTCACCTGTTTTTGAAGGGGTGGGAGCACAAATGCTGCTGAGCCCCCCCCCCCCCCGAATGGCAACAAAGGGTTAAACTCGCCCAAAATAGACATTTTTCTTTTTCTCTCTTTTCCTGCTCTTTAACTCGGTTTCTTCTCCCTTTCTCGGGGTGAGCCCCCCCAGCTTTGCCCCCCACCCCCTCCTGCACCCCAAAGCTGCTGCTCCCCCCCCCAGCTTTGCACGGCCCCTCCCCCGCTGCTGCTGAAGGTGAAATTCGTCGTTTTTTGTGGTTTGGCCTCAAAATTCCTGCGCCCCCCACCCCCGACCCGCCTGCGCCGTGTCCCACCCGCCGCCGGGGGGGCTTCGTGTGACCCCCCCGGGCTGAACCTGGGGGGGAGAGACCCCAAAATCCCCCCCAAATCGAGGAGGGGCTGAGTGGCACCCCAGCCTCGCTCCAGACCCAAAACTGGGGGGTTTAGCCCCAAAAATGAGAGGGTTTAGCCTCAAACGGGAGGTTCTCGGAGGGGACACCCCCAATTTCGGCACCCAAAGCTGCGGGTTTGGGGTGTCCTGCGCCCCCACATCGTTCTGAAGCCAAAGCGACGGGTTTTAACCCCAAAATGGAATTTGGGTTTGTCCCAAAATGGGCTTGTTTAGCCCCAAACTGGGGTCTCTCCTCCCCGGATTTTTGGGGTGTTTTTTGGGGGGTGTGGGGAGCCTCTGCGCCGCCGCTTCACCCCCACCTGCATGGGGGGACCCCCAAAATTCAGTGGGGGACCCCAGACCCGTCCCCACGCATGGCTGAGATTGGGGGAACCCCCGAATTTGGGGGGGGAGGGGGTTCCCCAGCATGGCTGGAATGGGGGCGGGGGGGGGAACCCCAAAATTCTGCGTGGGGACCCCAAATTACCCCCTCCTCCTCGCATGGCCGACCCCAAAATTTCCTGTGGGGGAGGGGACACACAGGGGACCCCCAAAACCGCACCCCCAGCACGGCTGGGATGGGGGGGACCCCAAAACCCCCACGGGGTGGGGGGGCAAGAGGCCAGAAATGAGTGGGACAGAGCTGGGGGGGACCCCGACCCCGCTGACCGTGTCCCCCCCACCCCCAGCGGCGCCGGGCGGGCGCGACCGGGGGGCGGCCCCGGGCGGGGGGAACCCCCAGAGCCCCCCGGAGTCACCGGAGTCGCCGTTCGAGGTGGTCCCGGACCGAGCCGCCTTCGACCGCGAGTTCGGGCCCGCGCTCGGCCAGATCCCCGAGGGCCGCGTCTGCCACTTCCCGCCCAAGCCCCGCGGCGGCCCCGGCGTCCCCGGCGGTGTCCCCGGTGTCCCCGGTGGTGTCCCCGGGCGCGGGCTGGCCCGGCCGCCCCCCGGCTCGGCGGCGGCGCTGGAGGAGGTGTCGCGGTGCGTGCGGGAGATGCACAGCTTCACCAGCGAGCTGCTCTCCTGGGACCTGGTGGAGCGCGGCAACGGCACCGGGGACACCGGGGACGGCACCGGGGACGGCCTCGGGGACAGCCACGGCGGCGGCGGCACCGGGAACAGCGTGGCTGGCGCTGGGAATGGCGTTAACGGCGTTGGGAATGGCGTCACCGGGGTCACCGGCATCGGGAATGGTGTCACCGGCATCGGGAATGGTGTCACCGGCATCGGGAATGGTGTCACCGGCACTGGGAGTGGCATCACCGGGGTCACCGGCATCGGGAATGGTGTCGCTGGTGTCACCGCCGTGGGGAATGGCATCGCTGGCGTTGGCAATGGCATCGGGAGCGGCCTCGGTGGCATCGGGAGCGGTGTCCCCCGTACCGGCAGCAAGAGCGAGGTCACCGGGAACGTCCCCGGCGCTGTCCCCGGCGTAGGGGGTGGCATCTCTGCCGTCCCCGGGGGTGGCACCGCTGTCCCCACCGACGCCGACAGCTCCGGTGACTCCGACGACACGGTCATCGAGGAGGCGCCGGGCGAGGCCCCCGCTGCTGTCCCCAAGGATGTCCCCAAGGATGTCCCCAAGGATGTCCCCAGGGATGTCCCCGCTGTCCCCGGGGCTGTCCCCGCTGTCCCCAGGGCTGTCCCCGTCCCCGCCGCCTCCCGGGACCAGACCCTGCGGGAAGTGGGGGAGCCCCCCCGGCCCCCCCCGGCCGGGCCCCTGCCCCGCCTGGCAGGTAAAGCCCCAAACGGGCCTTTTCCAGCCCCAAACCGGGGGGAGGGGGCTGGGAACGGACCCGCAATGGGGGAAAGGAGAGGAGGAACGGGGAGAGCCCAGCCCGAAGTGCAGCTGGGGGGGGGGGGGGGCTCAGGAGCGCCTTGTTCTGGGGTGAAATCCGGAGATTTCGGGCCAAACCCGGCGGCAGTGTGTGTGGGGGGTTAATTAACGCCTGTTCTAACTAGGGGCGTGTAATTAAGGGCTGTGCGTAACGAAGGGGCTGTTTTAATGAGCTTTAATGAGCGAGGGTAATCAAGGGGAAGGTGGCATCGAGCTCAGTTTGGGCTAAATTGGGGTGGGGACAACACAGGGACCCCCGGTGTCCTCTCCTTGTCCCCTTGTGTCCCTCTGTGTGTCCTCTCCTTGTCCCCCTGTATCTCTCTTTGTGTCCCCCTTGTGTCCCCTTGTGTCCCCCTGTATCTCCCCCTCGTGTCCCCTCCTTGTCCCCCTCGTGTCCCTCTGTGTGTCCCCCTGTATTTCCTCTCCTTGTCCCCATCCTGTCCCCTCCTTGTCCCCCATATCTTTACTCGTGTCTCCCCCCGTGTCCCCTGTGTGACGCTGTCCCCCGTGTCCCCCGTGTGACGCCGAGTCCCCTGTGTCCCCCGTGTCCCCTGTGTGACACCATGTCCCCCGTGTCCCCTGTGTGACGCCGTGTCCCCTGTGTCCCCCGTGTCCCCCGTGTGACGCTGTCCCCGCTGTCGCTGTCGCAGCGCTGCAGGAGCTGCTGTTCTGGCGGGACGTGAGGAAGAGCGCGGTGGCCTTCGGCGCCAGCCTGGTGCTGCTGCTGTCGCTGGCCACGCTCAGCGCTGTCACCGTGGTGGCACACGTGGCGCTGGCCCTGCTCTCGGTCACCATCAGCCTGCGCGTCTACAAGGCCGTGGTGCAGGCCCTGCAGAAATCCGAGGAGGGGCACCCCTTCAAGTGAGCGCGGCTTTTGGGGACCCCCGGCGGGTTTTTGGGGCTCGGGGACACGGCCAGCCCCGGCTCGGGGACAGCGCTGTCACCACAAGGGGACAGGCAGGCTGGCCTGGCTGCTGGGCTGCTCTGGGCAGGGCCAGGGTTGGGGTGCACGGGGGTTTGGGGGGGGGATTTTGGGGTCCAGAGGGGTGTGGATGGGGATTTTGGGGTGTGGATGGGGATTTTGGGGGTGTGGATGGGGATTTTGGGATGTGGATCAGGATTTGGGGTGTGGATCAGGATTTTGGGGGTGTGGATCAGGATTTGGGTTGTGGATGAGGATTTTGGGGGTGTGGATGGGGATTTTGGGTTGTGGATGGGGATTTTGGGTTGTGGATGGGGATTTTGGGGTGTGGATGGGGATTTTGGGGGTGTGGATCAGGATTTGGGGTGTGGATGGGGATTTGGGGGTGTGGATCAGGATTTGGGGTGTGGATGGGGATTTTGGGGGTGTGGATGGGGATTTTGGGGGTGTGGATGGGGATTTTGGGGGTGTGGATGGGGATTTTGGGGGTGTGGGTGGGGATTTTGGGGTGTGAATGGGGATTTTGAGGTCCAGAGGGGTGTGAAGAATAATTTTGGGGTGTGGAGGGGGATTTTGGGGATGTGAGGAGGGATTTTGGTGTGTCCCCACCCCTATTTCTCACCCAGACCTGACCCTATGTCCCGAGACCTTCCAGGGCGTGGAGGGGTGAAGATGGATTTTGATGTTTAGACACAAACTTAGGGGCGCAGAGGCAGATTTTGGGGTTCAGGGTGGGGATTTTGGGGCTCCCCTCACCTGTCCCCCCCCTCCCCAGAACTTACCTGGACCTGGACGTGACCTTATCCCCCGAGACCTTCCAGGCGCACGCGGCCGTGGTGGCCCAGCACCTCAACCGGGGCCTGCAGCTGCTCATCCGCCTCTTCCTGGTGGAGGATCTGGTGGATTCCCTGGAGGTTCGGAGCCTTCCTCCCCCTCCTCCTCCTCCCCCACCCCAAAACCCCCGCCGGGACCCCCCAAAACCTCTCCTGTGCCCCCCCAGCTCGCCCTGACCATGTGGTTGATGACCTACGTGGGAGCCGTTTTCAACGGCATCACCCTCCTCATCCTCGGTGAGACCCTCCTCCTTCTCCCCTGAAATGACCCCCCAAAAGTGTGATTTTGGGGGTGGTGACCCCCAAAATTAGCACTGGGGGAGGGGGGTTCCCCCCAAATAACCCCTCCCCCTGTTTTTCCCCAGCCGACATCTTGGCCTTCACCCTCCCGCCCCTCTACGAGAAATACCAGGTGAGCCCAAACTGAGCAGATCCCCCCAAAAATCAACGAGACCCCCCAGAATCAAGGGGGACACCCCCAGAAATGAGGGGGGGCCCCCTGAAACCCCCATTTCTTCCCCCTCCAGGTGCAGATCAACCACTACATGGGCCTCATCCGCCAGCAGACCAAGGACCTCATGGCCAAGTAGGTGCTCAGGGGGCTCCCCCAAAATCCTGGGGACCCCCCCAAATCCCTGTGGCCTCCCCAAATCATCTCTCCCCCCCTCTCTCTGTAGGATCCAGGCGAAACTCCCGGGTCTGGTCAAGAAGAAGCCGGAATAAGCCCCAGGGTGGGGGAGGGGAAATTTGGGGGTACCCACAGCGGTGCCCCCCCCACTCCAAGCTTGTCTTCCCCCCCCCCCAAACTCCACACACCCCCCCAAACTCGTTCCCTTCCCCCAGTCTCACCGTGACGTCCGTCTGTGCCCCCCTCTGTTGAAACTGAGGGGGCTGAACCCCAAAATTGCCTTCCCTGGGGGGGCCCTCCAAGCTCGTTCCTATCCCCCCCCCCGTTTTATTTTTTTAACGTTAATTGAGGTGAAATGTCTGTAACTGCTGTAAATGGGGGAGGGGGGGCTCAGCCCTTCCCACAGCCCCCCCAAACTGCACCCCCCGAGCCCCCCCTCGCTGAGAGGGGGGTGGGAAATGGGGGAGACCCCCCCCCAAATCCACCCGCGGGGCTGCGGCTACAATAAAACACCGCCACAAGGCTGGGCCCCTCTGTGCTGGTGACACGCCCAGAATGTCCCTGGGACCCCCCCAAAATGTCCCCGTGTTCCTCTCCAATGTCCCCAAATGTCCCCATGGCCCCGGGGGGTCTCTGGGGGGTTTATGGGGGGTCCTGTACAAGGTGGGGGCGGGGGGACACGCACACATAAATAAGGGGACACTGGGGGGGTGTCGGTGACACCGGGGGGGGGGTGTCGGTGACACCGGGGGGTGACACGGGGTGGGTACAGGAGTGGCTGCGTTGTGGTGGGGGGGGGGTCGCTGGTGTCCCCACTGCCCCCCTGGGGTGTCCCCTGTTGTCCCCACCCCCTCCCAGTGTCCCCATCCCGGGAGGGCTCAGGCGGGGGGGGCCCTGTGTCCCCCACCCCCCCTGCGGCCTCTTCCTCCTCCTCCTCCTCCTCCTCGGTGGGACCGGGGGCTGGCAGGGCTGGGGGGGACAGCGCTGTCACCTCCTGTCATCTCCCTGTCCCCTGCAGTGTCCTCAGCGTCTCTGTCCCCACCCCCTCCCAGTGTCCCCAAAGCTTCCAGCACCCCCCCATTGTCCCCAGGTGCCACCCACCCCAGTGTCCCCATTGTCCCCAGGTGCCACCCACCCCAGTGTCCCCAGGTGCCACCCACCCCAGTGTCCCCATTGTCCCCAGGTGCCACCCACAGCCACCGTTGTCCCCATGTCCCCGGTGTCCCTGCCTCCCCACACCCTCCCTGTCCCCGCTCACCGGGGTGTCCCTGGGGGTGGCACTTTGTCCCCGGTGTCCCCGCTCACCGGGGCCGTCCGGCCTCCAGGTCCAGCCGCAGCTCGGCCCGCAGCCAGCGCCGCAGTGACACCGCCGGCGACGCCTTGGTGGCCCTCGGGGACAGCGGGAGACGGGGCCCTGGGGCGAGGGACGGTGCCGTCACCAAGGGGGGACAGAGGGGACGGGGCTGGGGGATGCGCTGGGGACACTGTGGGGACAGGCCCAGGGCATTGGTGGCACTTTGGGGACAGGCCCAGGGCCATTGGTGGCACTTCGGGGACCTTGGGGACACTTTGGGGACAGGCCCAGGGCCATTGGTGGCACTTTGCAGACCTTGGGGACAGGCCCAGGGCCATTGGTGGCACTTTGGGGACACTTTGGGGACAGGCCCAGGGCCATTAGTGGCACTTTGGGGACACTGTGGGGACAGGCCCAGGGCCATTGGTGGCACTTCGGGGACCTTGGACACTTTGGGGACAGGCCCAGGGCCATTGGTGGCACTTTGGGGACCTTGGGGACAGGCCCAGGGCCATTGGTGGCACTTTGGGGACCTTGGGGACACTTTGGGGACAGGCCCAGGGCCATTGGTGGCACTTTGGGGACACTTTGGGGACAGGCCCAGGGCCATTGGTGGCACTTTGGGGACAGGCCCAGGGCCATTGGTGACGCTGTGGGGACAGGCCCAGGGCCATTGGTGGCACTTTGGGGACAGGCCCAGGGCCATTGGTGGCACTGTGGGGACAGGCCCAGGGCCATTGGTGGCACTTTGGGGACAGGCCCAGGGCCATTGGTGACGCTGTGGGGACAGGCCCAGGGCCATTGGTGGCACTTTGGGGACAGGCCCAGGGCCATTGGTGGCACTGTGGGGACAGGCCCAGGGCCATTGGTGGCACTTTGGGGACACTTTGGGGACCCCTGGGGCTGGCACTGCGGTCATGGGAGGAGCCACAGAGAGGGGCGGGGCTGAGGGACTGGGTGTGGTCAGGGTGGGGCCTGTGGTAAAGGGACAGTGTCCCTTTAAGGGGCGTGGTTTAGCAAAGGGTGTGGTCAGCCATGGGCGTGGCATTTAAAGGGGACGCACGAATCGCTAAAAGGGGCGTGGCTTTGTACAGAAAGGGGTGGGGCTACAGCAAAAGTGGGCGTGGTCAGTGTGGAACTGCACTGGGTGAGGGCGTGGCCTGAAGTTAAATGGGGCGTGGCCACATTTAAAGGGACAGTGCTGCTCCAAAGGGGCGTGGCCACATTTAAAGGGACAGAGGTGCTCCAAAGGGGCGTGGCCACATTTAAAGGGACCCCACTCCTCTACAAGGTGCCGTGCCCCACCTTGCCCACCCCCAGCCTGGCCCGCCAGTCCCGGGGCTGCTCCCGGGGGTGCTCCTGGAGCTTCTCCCGCGGTTTTTGGGGCTGCTCCCAGAGCTTGTCCTGGGGTTTCTCCTGGCGCTGCTCCCGGGGGTGCTCCCGGGGGTGCTCCTGGAGCTTCTGGGGCTTCTCCCGCGGTTTTTGGGGCTGCTCTGGGAGTTTCTCTTGGGGTTTCTCCTGGGGCTGCTCCTGGGGCTTCTCCCGGGGTTTCTTCTGGGGTTTCTGGGGCTGCTCCCGGGGTTTCTCTCGGGGTTTCTGGGGTTTCTCCAGGGGTTTCTCCCGGGGTTTCTGCGGCTCCAGGCTCCGGTGCAGCCCCCGCGAGGAAGGGGCTGCAGGGAAGGCCAGGGAAGGGAGGTCCAGGAATGGGGGAGGTTCAGGGGGGATTTGAAGGGTCCAAGGGGTGGAGGGGACACCAAGGGTTAGGGGTGAGATGTGGGGCAAGGCTGGGGGGTTTGAAAGGGACACAGCAGCAAAAGGGGGGGGGGGCACAGGAGATCTTAAAAGAGGCAGGGGGTTCTTCAAGGGGCAGGGTCCGTAAATGAGGAGGGGGAGGGGATGGGAGGGGCACATCCTCAAGGGACAGGAACATCTTAAATTCCTGTGGGCATCCTAAAGGGACAGGGATCCTTTAAGGGGACAGGGACGCCTTAAAGGGGCAGGGACATCCCGAATTGGATGGGGACATCCTGAATTCCCGGGAACGGGATAATTTAAAGGGATGGAGGCATCTTCGGGGCACACGGGCACCCTAAATTGAATCAGCTCATCTTAAAGGGACATGAACCCGTTAAAGAATCCGGCGCCTCCCAGCCCATGACAGGGAACGGCAAAGGGCTGGGGGGCTCGGGGGGCTTCTTAAATCGCCAGCGCCGCTCCCATTGTGCACCAAGGGGGGGTCCCGCCGCGGCTCCGCTCCCCCCGCCGCCCGCTCGGTGCTCACCTGGGCCGGCCGGGGCCGGGAGCGGGGTGGGGGCCCGGGGGCTCCATGGCGGGGCCCAGGGCGGCGGCGGCGGGCGGGGGCCGGCCGGGGTGGGGACGCTGCCGTGGGGCCCTTGGGGCTCCTTTAAGGGCTCCTGGGTAAATTTAAAGGGGCCGCACGCCTTTCCCATCCCCCCCCCCCCCCCCGAGCCCGCCCCTCCCCGCTACGGGGGGCTACGGGGAGGGGGCGATGAGTTGCCGGCAGGTCTGAGCCCACCCCCCTCTCCAGAGGAGCCACAGCGGTGATTTTAAGGGGGGGTCCCCCCATGTGGACGGGTAGGGGGAGCCCCTGGGTGCTCCCCTCCCCCATGCACCCCCCTCCATCCCCGCCGGGGGTGCCCCGAGCGATGGGGCACCCATGGAAACCCCCCCCCATCCCGGCCCCGCCCCTTTGGTCCAAAGGGGGCGTGGTGGGGTGAGGACACGCCCCCTCCCAGTGCCCCCTCCCAGTGCCCCCTCCCAGTGCAGACAAGGAGCACCTTGCCCCAAAATAGGGGAGAACCCAGCAAAGCACAAAATCTGGGCGCGCCCCGGTGTCCGGGAGAACCCCCCAAAAATCGGGGAGGGTCCTGCGGTCCGGGAGAACCCCCCAATTTCGGGGGGGCCTCCTGCGGTCCATGAGAGCCCCCCAATTCTGGGGGGGGGTCCTGCGGTCCGAGCCGCCCCCCGCCCCATCCTGGGGTCTCCATCGGGGCTGGGGAGGGGGATTCGGCTCCGCTCGGGTGTTTCCGTCACGGGCGGAAGCGCCCGAAGGCCGCCGAGAGGTGTTCGGGTATTTCCGCATCCACCGGGAGTTTCGGTCCCACTCGGGTAATTCCGGCTCCGCTCGGAGTCGCGGCGGCGCTCGGCTGCCCCCGCTGCGCTCGGCGGAAAGTACCGAAGGCAGCTTCGTGTACCTCCGTGGCGGAGGCGGAAACAGCCGAAGTCCGTGAGGGCCGCGAAGCGAAGCGCTCCGGGAAGAGCCGAAGCGGCGCGGGAGGCGTGTCGGGTGTTTCCGGCGCGGCGGCGGAAATGGCCGAGGGCCGGCGGCGGCCGCCATGTTGGGAGCCGCGGGGCGCTGAGGCGGCGGCGGCGTGAGGCGGCGGCGGCGGCGGCCGGGCCGGGCCGGGCGGACCCCGCCCGCTCCCCCTGCTCCTCTCCCGGCCCCCCCAATGCCGCTGGCCTGGCCCCCCCCCGCCCCCTGAGCTCCCCCGCCTCCCCTTCCCCCTCCCCGCTCACCGCCTGCCTGCCGCGGCTTCCCCCTATCGCGATAGTCGCCGGCGGCGCGGGGGGGGGGCCGCCATGTCGAGCAGCGCTCGCAGCCCTTTGCCGACCGTCAACGAGAGGGACGCGGAACAGGTGAGGGAGGGACGGCGGGGACCGGGTGGGGATGAGGGGGGGAGCCGGCTCCAGCGTGAGGGGAGAGGGGCGGCCGGGGGGAAAAGGGCATTTTGTGAGGGGAAAAGGGAGCCTGGGGGAGTTTTGTGAGGGGAAAAGGAGGATCCGAGGGAGCCTGGGGGGGTTTTGTGAGGGGAAAACGGGGATCCGAGGGAGACTGGGAGGTTTTTGTGAGGGGAAAAGGGGGATCCGAGGGAGCCTGGGGGGGTTTTGTGAGGGGAAAAGGGGGATCCGAGGAAGGAAAAAAAGGGGCTTGAGGGGATGGCGAGCTGGTTTGTGAGGGGAAATGTGGAGTTTAGGGTCGGTTTGTGAGGGGAAAAAGGGGCTCTGAGGGGCTCAGGGACTGATTTATGAGGGGAAAAGGGGGATCTGAGGGGGCAAAAAACAGGATTTGGGGGGGTTCTGGTCCCGTCCATGTGGAAAAAAAGGGAGACTCAGTGGGTCTGAGGCGTTTGTGTGAGGGGAAAAGGGTCTTGGAGGGGCCTGGGTAATTCTGTGAGGTAAAAAGGTGTTTTGAGGGGGATCTGGGCCGGGTTTTGAGGCGGATCCGAGAGGAAAAGGGGGGCTGAGAGAGGCTGGGGCTGTGTGTGAGGGGTCCGAGCCCGGTTTGTGATGGGAAAAGGGGGGCAAAAAGGGTCAGGGGGCTCTTTGCGAGGGGCAAGGGAGGCCTGGAAGGGATGTGAGAAATTCTGTGGGGTAAAGAGAAGTGTTTTATGGCAACCTGGGTCGGTTTTTGAGTGATAAAGACGGAAAATAAGGGAATTTAAGGGGGTCTTGGGGCATTTTTGGGAGTGAAGAAGGAGATCCTGGGGTATTTTACGTGGAGAAAGGAGAGAATCTGAGAGGATCTGATCCCTCTGTGAAGGGAAAAGAGGGACTAAAGGGGTTTGGGATTGTTTTATGAGGGAAGAGGGGGCTCTGAGGGGCTTCAGGCCCCTCTGTGAGGTGGAAAAGGGGGGGTCTAAGTGTCCCCCAATTCCTCTCTTGCACCCCGTGAAGGAGCCTGGGGTCTCCCACAGCCCGAACCCTCCTGTGGGGTGGGGGGTCCTGAGCCGTGTCCCCCTTTGGGCCTGGATTTGCTGTAGGGAGCGTGCTCTGGGATGAGCCCCTCCCCAGATTTTGGGGTCTCGTTTTGGGGTTCCCTGCGGGGCAGCAGCGGGGATTTGTGTGCGTGGCCCCAAATTTTGGGTGAGGGGGTCAAGCCTTGCACCCCAAAGGCAGAGGGGCAAGCAAAGGGGGGGGAGTGCCAGACGCCCCCACACTGAACCCCCCGGCTCTGGGATCCGCTGTTGGGGGCACGTTTGGGGTGTCATTGTCCCCCCCAGCTCGCTGGCTGCACGCTCGGGGTGTGGGGGCGTCAGCCCACCCCCTCCCCACCCCCTTCCCTGCTGCACCCCCCAACCGGGGGGGCTGTGGGGGCGGCAGCAGCGCTGCCACGGGCTCGGCGCCCTCCCCGCGTGTTGGGGGGGCTCTGAGGGGCGAGCCCCCCCAAATTCCTCCCGTTCTGACCCCTGTGAGCGGGGACCAGCCCCCCACCCCGCTGGGGAATGGGGGGCGCAGCCCCCTGTCTGTCTGAGGGGGTGAGGGGGATTTCCTCAGGGGGCAGCTGGGACGGGGGTTCCCCGTTTTAGGGGGTGGATTTGGGGGGTCTTGGGGTCCCGCTCTGCCCCCAGCTTCTGTGGCTGCTGGGAGACCCGGCTGCTGGCTCAGCCCTTTTGGGGAGCACCTGGGGGTCTCCTCAGCTCCCCCAGCTGGGTAACACCCCTGTTTTGGGCGGTGTTTTGGGGGGCACCCCTTCTGTGACCCCAAGTGCTGGCGAGGGACCCCAGCAGGGCGCATGGGGGCACAGGTGGCCTCATGTCGGTGTCCCCAAGCCCGAGGACAAGGCGATGCCACCTGTTCTGTGGCTGTGGCCGTGGCACCGGGGCCCCCCTCCTCGTTTTGGGTGGTTTTCCTCTTATTTATCCGCTGTTATGTAACGCCAGAGGAGAATTATTCCTGGCTGGGAAGATTTGGGGAGGGGGCGGCAGCGCCGTGTGGGGGGGGCTGTGCACCCTCCCCAGCCCCAGCAGCTGAATTTGGGGGGTCTTTCCCTGCCCCCCCAGCCCCCAATTCCTCCCTCACACGGAGCCCGATCCGGTGGGGTTGGAGATAAAAAAAAAAACATCAAAAATACCTAAATTTGGCTGACATTTGAGCGGCGCCGCACGAAGCAGCGCTGCCTCCCCGGCTGCCGCCGCCGCACCGTGCCGGGGGGTCCCGGTCACACTGGGGACACCGGCACCGCTCCCGGTGCCACCGGTTTGGTGCCGCTGGCGTGGGCGGGCACCAGGATCCTCACACCTGCCTGGTGACATCGCTGGGGGGCCGGTGACACCATTGCGGCCCCGGTGACATCCATGCAGGGCTGCTGACGTCATGGCAGGGCTGGTGATGTCACACCGTACCTGGTGACGTCCCTGCAGCCTCAGCGCTGTCACTGCTGCCGCCATTCCAGTGCCCATTCCGGTGCCCGTTCCAGTGCCCATTCCAATGCCTATTCCGGTGCCCGTTCCAATGGCCATTCTGGTATCCATTCCAGTGCCCATTCCGGTGCCCGTTCCAGTGCCCATTCCTGTGCCCGTTCCAGTGCCCATTCCGGTGCCTGTTCCAATGGCCATTCTGGTATCCATTCCAGTGCCCATTCCAGTGCCATTCCCATTCTGGTGCCCATTCCACTTCCCATTCCGGTGCCCATTCCGGTGCCATTCCCATTCCGGTGCCATTCCAGTGCCCATTCCGGTGCCCATTTCACTTCCCATTCTGGTGCCATTCCAGTGCCCATTCCGGTGCCCATTTCACTTCCCATTCTGGTGCCATTCCGGTGCCCATTCCAATGCCTGTTCCAGTGCCCATTCCAATGGCCATTCTGGTATCCATTCCAGTGCCCATTCCGGTGCCATTCCCATTCTGGTGCCATTCTGGTGCCCATTCCACTAACCATTCCAGTTCCATTCTGGTGCCATTCCGGTGCCCGCCCCAATGCCCATACCGGTGCCCATTCCCATTCCAGTGCCCATTCCGGTGCCCACTCCAATGCCCACTCCAATGCCTTCTGGCTCTGCCCCCGGCAGGACAGCCCCCACCCCCCCCCGGTGCCGGTTTTCCCCTTTCCTGCCCCGTTTCCCCCGCCCCAGCGCTCCAGGTGCTCCCGGGCCCCACCCCGGTCCCGCTGCGGCCTCAGCCCCAACCGGTCGAGCCGGTCCCCGCTCGCTCCCTCCCGGCGTCCCGCGGGGCTCCCGCCGGCACCGCCCCGCTCCCGCCGCTCCCGGCGCTTCGGGGTGCCCAGGGTGAGTCCCCCCGTGGCGGGCGGGCTGGGGAAACTGAGGCACGAGGGCCTCCGCGGCGTTACGGAGCGCCGCCGCCTCCGGGGAACGCCGCGGCCTTCCCAGCGCCCGTGCCCGGTGCCGGTGGCGTTGGCCCGGTGTGACCCGGGCCGGGCGGTGCCTCCTTTACCGTGCTTGCCGTGTTTTTGGCCAGGCGGGCCGCGGCGATAAGAGGCGCCGGGAAACGCCGGGAGCGCCGCCACCGGACCCCGAGGGGCTCGGGGGGTTCCGGTGCCGGGGGGGGCTCCGGTGTCGGTGCCGCCTCAGAGCCCGACCGAATGCCGGCAGCGCGGCCAGATGGCTCCGCACGCTCCCGCCCCGTTGCCACGGCAGTTTTTTGGCAGAAACTCCCGTTTTCCTTCACTTTTCCCACAGCACCGCGCTGGGCTTTGGGGGAGGGGGAAGCTCCGGTCCCCCCCAGGCCCCAAAGCAGCGCGTTCTCCCCCCAAATCTGGGGGTTCGCTTGCGCCATCGCCGGCACCTCCCCCGTGGCTTCCGCCAGCGGTTTCCTTCCCACGGAGGGGGAGGGGGACACCCCGAGATGCGCCCCCACAAAAATAAAACCCGGCGGGGATTTGGGGGGCCCCAAACCCCACGGGGGAAGGGGGGGCTTGGCTCGGCTTCCCCGCCCGCTCACGCGCTCCCGTTATCTCCGGTGTCACCGGAGCGGTGACAGCCCCGGGGGCGTCTCACTCCCCGCGAGGGAACACCCCGAAAGTGTCCCCGGGGCCCGGGTGACCTTCGGGGGGGCCCGGGGCGGGTTTTGGGGTGTGGGCAGAGGGGCTTTGCGCCCACGTCGTTCTGGGGGGGCTGTTCCGCTTCGGGCTGGGCCGTGAGCTCTGTCCAGGCGGTCGCGTTTGGGGTAAAACCGGGGTTTTTGGACGCTGAATCTTCGGGAGAGGAGCCGGGGCGGCGCGGGGGTGGCCGTGTCCCCTCCCGGGGAGGGGGTGACACGGCGCTGTCCCCTTCCCACCCTGGCGGCCCAGCCCGAAACCGCGGCACTTGCGTCAGGTATCAGGGGCGGCTCCCGGCCGGGCCGGGCGCGGCTCCGCCGCTCCGGACTTCGCTCCCGGCTCCTCCCGGAGCCCGCCGGGATCCGCGGGGAGACGCGGCCGGGCCCGGCTGAGCGTCCCCCCGCTGTCCCCGCAGCCGGGCGCCGTGGAGGGCAAAGGCGGCGGCAAGGCCAGCATGCTGCGGGGCCGCAACGCCGGCACGGCCGCCGAGGAGCAGCCCCACATCGGCAACTACCGGCTGCTCAAAACCATCGGCAAGGGCAACTTCGCCAAGGTCAAGCTGGCCCGGCACGTCCTGACCGGCAAGGAGGTGAGTGGCACCCCCCCGGCGAGGGGACAGCGCTCGGCGGGGCCTGGGTGACACCGCGGGGACGGCAGCAGCCCGTGGGTGACACCGTGTGCTGTGGGTGTCACCATGCTGCGGGGACAGCTCTGCCTTCTGGTGCTTGTTCTGGAAGTGCCACCACAGCGTGGGGATAGTCCTTGTTGTCAGAGTGCCACCACGGTGTGGGGACAGTTCTGGGTCCTGGTCCTTGCCCTGAGTGTGCCACCGCAGCGTGGGGACAGTCCTTGTTGTAAGAGTGCCACCGCAGTGTGGGGACAGTCCTTGTCAGTGCCACCGCAGTGTGGGGACAATTCTGGGTCCTGGTCCTTGCCCTGAGTGTGCCACCGCAGCGTGGGGACAGTCCTTGTTGTAAGAGTGCCACCGCAGTGTGGGGACAGTTCTGGGTCCCGATCCTTGCTCTGGGAGTGCCACCACAGCCCAGGGATGGGCTTCCTGTCCCCAGCCACGAATGCCACCACTGGTGTGGGGACAGGTCTGGGCTCCTGGTCCAGGTCCTGTGGGTGTCACCGCAGGGACAGACCCGTTGTCCTCATCCCATGGGTGGCACCGCGGTGTGGGGACAGCAGCTCTGGCTTCTGGTCCCTGCCCTGGGAGTGCCACCTGGCACCGGAATGAGCTTCCTGGTCCTCAGCTGTGATCGTCACCGTGGCGTGGGGACGGTTCTAGCTCCTGGTCCTTGTCCTGTAGGTGCCACCGCGGCGTGGGGACACTTCTGGGTCCTGCTCCATGCCCTGGGAGTGCCACTGTGGCACAGGGCTGGTCCCAGGCTCACCACGGTGTGGGGACAGCCCTGGGGCTGCTCCTGTCACCTTCCCCCTCCCTCTGGGAGTGCCACCACGGTGTGGGGACAGCCCTGTCCCTCTGCCCCTCCCCTCTCGGGTGCCACCACGTCTGGGGACAGCCCTGGGGACCCTCTGACCCCCCTCTCCCCTCGCAGGTGGCCGTGAAAATCATTGACAAGACACAGCTCAACTCCTCCAGCCTGCAGAAGGTGAGGGGTGTCTCTGGGGGGGGAAGCTGATTTTGGGGTGACAAATGGGAGATCATTCCCTCTGACACCCCCCAAAATCCCTCCCTCCCCCTGTCCCTCGCAGCTCTTCCGGGAAGTGCGAATAATGAAGGTTCTGAACCACCCCAACATAGGTGAGACCCCCAAAACCCCCTCATCTGCACCCCCGACCCTCCCCGGGGGTGTCCCCCACCCATGGGGGGGGTCCCAGGGGTTTCTCCAACCCCCCTCTCCCCCTTGCAGTGAAGCTCTTCGAGGTGATTGAGACGGAGAAGACGCTTTACTTGGTGATGGAATACGCCAGCGGGGGTGAGTGGGGGTCTGGGGGGCCCCGGGGGGGTTTGGGGGTCACAGGGCTGCCCCTCACCCCCCACCCTGTGCCCCCCAGGCGAGGTCTTCGATTACCTGGTGGCCCACGGGCGCATGAAGGAGAAGGAGGCCCGGGCGAAGTTCCGACAGGTCTGGGGGGGCTGGTGCTGTTGGACCCCCCTGCAGGGGTTGGAGACCCCCCCAGCCTGCCCCCAAGGGGGCTGGGGGTGTCCCTGTGCCCCCCAGCTGGGCTGGGCCCCCCTCTGACACCCCCCTGTCCTGCAGATAGTGTCGGCCGTGCAGTACTGCCACCAGAAATTCATCGTGCACAGGGACCTGAAGGTGAGGGACCCCCACCGGGCACCCCTGGGACCCCCAGAGCGGCACCCTGACACCCCTGGGACTCCCTGACACCCCTGGGACCCCCTGGCACCCCGAGAGCAGCGCCCTGACACCCCTGGGACCCCCTGGGACCCCGAGAGCAGCGCCCTGACACCCCTGGGACCCCCTGGCACCCCTGGGACCCCGAGAGCAGCGCCCTGACACCCCTGGGACCCCCTGGCACCCCTGGGACCCCGAGAGCAGCGCCTTGACCCCCCTGGGACCCCCTGGCACCCCGGGGACCCCCAGAGCGGCACCCAGACACCCCTGGGACCCCCAGGACCAAATTCCCAATATCGCTGAGACCCCCAGGGAGGTGCCAGGGCCCCCCAGTCCCACCCCTGGGACCCCCAGCCCAGTCCCAGCTGCACCCTGCCCCCCAACCCCCCCCAGACCCCCAGTAACCTCCCTGGGGTGCTCTCCCTCCCCGGGCCAGGCCGAGAACCTGCTGCTGGATGCCGACATGAACATCAAAATCGCCGATTTTGGCTTCAGCAACGAGTTCACCTTCGGGAACAAGCTGGACACGTTCTGCGGCTCCCCCCCCTACGCCGCCCCCGAGCTCTTCCAGGGCAAGAAGTACGATGGGCCCGAGGTGGACGTCTGGAGCCTGGGGGTCATCCTCTACACGCTGGTCAGCGGCTCGCTGCCCTTCGACGGGCAGAACCTCAAGGTGTGGCCGTGCTTTGGGGCTCCAGGGGGTGGTTTGGGGGTCCCCATGGCTGGTTTGGGGGTCCCCGTGGGTGGTTTGGGGGTCCTTGTGGTTGGTTTGGGGTCCCTGTGGGTGGTTTGGGAGCCACCCTGGATGCTTTTGGGGTGCCCATTGGTGGTTTGGGGGTCTCCGTGGGTGGTTTTGGGGTGCTCAGGGGTGGTTTGGGGGTCCCCGTGGGTGGTTTTGGGGTCCAGGGGTGGATTGGGGGTCCAGGGGGTGGTTTGGTATCCCCGTGGATGGTTCGAGGGTGCCCGCAGGTGGTTTTGGGGTACCATTGTTGGTTTAGGGGTGCCCTTGGGTGATTTTAGGGATCTCTCAGGGGATTTTGCGGTGCCCACGGGTGGTTTTGGTGTACAGTTGTTGGTTTTGGGGTGCTCACGTGTGGTTTTGGGGTGCCCCAGGAGCTGCGGGAGCGGGTGCTGCGGGGGAAGTACCGCATCCCCTTCTACATGTCCACGGATTGTGAGAACCTCCTCAAGAAGTTCCTCATCCTCAACCCCACCAAGAGGGGCACCCTGGAGGTGAGGGGACCCCCAACATCGTCCTGGGAACCCCAGTGCCACCCCAGGACCTTCTGGGGACCCCCAACATGGTCCTGGGACCCCCAGGTGGTTCCGGGAACCCCTGAGACCCTCCTGAGCAGTCCCCAGAGCACCCCAAGAGCTCCTGGGGACCCTCCCCGTGCCCCCCGGGACCCCTGGGATCCTTTCATGTCCCCAAAGTGTCCCCAGAGGTGACCCTGAGTCCCCTGTGTGCCCCCAGCAAATCATGAAGGACCGCTGGATGAACGTGGGCCACGAGGACGACGAGCTCAAGCCCTACATGGAGCCCGTGCCCGACTACAAGGACCCCCGCAGGACAGGTGGGACCCCGGGGCCGCCCTTGGGGACACGGGTGGCCCTTGGGGACACGGGGACCCCGCTGAGGGCCGTGTCCCCCCAGAGCTGATGGTGTCCATGGGCTACACGCGGGAGGAGATCCAGGAGTCGCTGGTGGGGCAGAAGTACAACGAGGTGATGGCCACCTACCTGCTGCTGGACCACAAGAGCTCCGAGGTGGGGACACTGCGGGGGACACTGGGGGTGGCAGGGGACACGTGGAGGGCACCAGGGGACAACGAAAACACGAGAACAGAGAGGGGACGTGGGGACAAGGAGCGGACACAGCGAGGGACAGGTGACAGGGTGATACCGGGAGGGTCACTGGGGTGAAAAGGGGACAGGAACGGGAGGGGACACGGTGACAAGGGGACATTGCGACGGTGCGAGGGGATGTGGGCAAACTGAGGTGACACTGAGGTGACACAGGGACACCAGCCTGTCCCCACGCTGTCCTGCCCCCCGTCCCCACCGTGCCGGTGTGTCCTTCTCCCCAGCTGTGCCGTGGTGGCACGTCCCTGTCCCTGCTCGGCGAGTGTCCCCTGTGTCCCCTGTCCCCAGCTGTGCCCATCCCCCGTGTCCCACGTGTTCCCCGTGTCCCACGTGTCCCCTGTCCCCAGCTGGAGGAGAACCTGTCCCTGAAGCCGCGGGTGGCCCCGGAGGTGGCCAACAGCTCGGGGCCCTCCCCCGCGCACAAGGTCCAGCGCAGCGTCTCGGCCAACCCCAAACGGCGCGTCAGCGACCAGGGTGAGAGCCCGGAGCAGGACAGGGACCCCAAAGGGGGACAGGGACCCCAAATGGGGACATGGGAGAGACCCCAGGGGGAACACGGGGGGTCAACAATCAGGGTGAGACCCCAATGGGGACAGAGACCCCAAATGGGAACCCAGGGGCTCAGTGACCAGGGTGAGACTCTAGAGAGGGACGGAGACCCCAAAATGGGGCCCGGGGGGTCAGTGAGCAGGGTGAGACCCCCAAATGTTGGGGGGCTGGCGCTGTGGGCGGTGCGTCCCTCAGAAGTGGGGGGCTCTGGGTGCTGGGGGGTCGCAGGGACAGGAACCCATCGTGGGGGGGTTGGTGGGGAGCTGGGGCCCCTTGGGGCGCAGGAGTGGGAGTGGGGGTCCCTGGGGGAGGCCCGGGGGTGGGAACGGGGGTGCCTGGCCCCTTGTGGGGTGCTGTGTGAGCCGGGTCCCCCAGCGAGGCGGGAGTGAAGGGGAAGGGAGGGGTCCCCGTGGGACCCCCACCCCTGACAGCCCCTCCCGCCCCAGCCGGGCTCTCCATCCCCACCTCGGCCTCGTACTCCAAGAAAACGCAGGCGGCCAACGCGGAGAACAAGCGAGGAGGAGCAGCAGGAGCAGGAGGAGGAGGAGGAGGAGGAGCGGGGGAGGAAGAGGTCGGGGGGCGCCGGGCCGGCAGCACGGCCAAGGTGCCCCCCAGCCCCCTGCCTGGCCTGGAGCGATCTAAGGGCACCCCCTCCCCGTCCACGGTCAGTGCAGGGTGGGGGACACCCGGGGGGGCCCTGAACTGGGGGGAATTGGGGTGCTGAGGCGGGAGGGGGGTCCCCAACACCTGGAACCCCAGATTTGGGGTCAGTATCTGCTGATTTGGGGTGCGAATGGGGGGTGGCCGTCCCTGGGTCCCCCAGGGTGGGTGGGGGTCGCTGGTGGGGCTTGGTGCCCACTGGCGGGTCCCCACTTCCCGTGTTTGCTGTTTGGGGGTTTGGGGCACTGTGTCCCCCCCCAGCCCCCCGTTTCCGTGTCCCCCCACAGAACAGCGTCCTGTCCACGGGCACCACGCGCAGCCGGAACTCGCCGCTGCTGGACCGCGCCAGCCTGGGCCAGAGCTCGCTGCAGAACGGCAAGGACAGGTGGGGACCCCTGCCCAGCGCCCCCGACCCTGCTGCCCACCGGGGGGGGGGGGCTCCTGAGGGCGCTGGGATGGAGATGGGGGTGGGTGATCCCCCCCAGCCCCCCATTCCTGCGTTCACGGGGTGCTGGGGAGCGCCCCAGCTTCCCACGGGGGGCTGGGGGTGCTCTGGGGGACAGTGGGGGGGTGTCCCCGGGTCCCGGGGGGCTCAGGGGTGCCCCCCTAACCCCGTGTCCCCCCGCAGCGGGGCTCCCCCCCGGGTGCCAGCAGCGTCCCCGTCTGCCCACAACGTGAGCCAGGGCCCGGGCGAGCGGCCGAGCTTCCCGCGGGGGGTCTCGAGCCGCAGCACCTTCCACGCCGGGCAGCTCCGCGCCCCCCGGGACCCCCGGGACCCCCTGCCCTACGCGCTGCCCCCCGGGCTGCCCCCGCCCGCCTCGCCCTCGGGCGCCAGCCAGGGCCGGCGCGGCCCCTCCGCCAGCCTCTTCAGCAAGTTCACCTCCAAGTTCGTGCGCAGGTGAGCCGCAGGGCTGGGCCTGCCGCCCCGTGTCCCTGGACGTGTCCCTGGATGTGTCCCTGGATGTGTCCCTGGATGTGTCCCCCTGGTGTGTTCTGGGCTCTCGCTGTCCCCTCGGTGTCCCCTCGCTGTGCCCTTCCCTCTGTGTGTCCTGGGCTGTCCCCTCGGTGTCCCCTCGGCGCTCCAGGGATTCTCTGTCCCCTCTGTCCCCTCTGAGGGCTCCTCGGTGTCCCCTCGGTGTCCCCCAGGTCCCTGCTGTGTTTCTCTGTCCCCTCAGGGTGTCCCCTCAGTGCTCTCGCGGCTTCTCTGTTCTCCTCCCTCTGTGTCCCCTCCTGTCCCTGCCACTGTCCCCTCAGGCACCCGCATGTCCCTTCCTATCCTCCCCGGCCTCCCACTAATCCTCCCGGGGACCCCACGTCCCCCATGTCCCTGAATGTCCCCTCAGGGACCCCCCCATGTCCCCTCAGGGACCCCCCCACGTCCCCTCCTGTCCCTCTGTCCCCACAGGGGGGGTGGGGGTGCTGCTTTTCCCCAGACCCCACTGACCCCAGCCCCGCTCGGGGGGCTCGGGGGGGGCTGTGGGGGGCTCAGGGGAGGGGGTGGCTCTGTCCCGGCCCCCTCCCCCCCCCAACGTCCCCTTCTCTTCTGTTTGTCTTTGTAGAAATCTGTCTTTCAGGTTTGCCAGAAGGTAGGGCCGCGCCGGACGCTGGGTCCCCCCGCATGGCACCCCCAAAATCCCCCCAAACCCCTCCAAAAATCCCCCCCAAACCCGACCCCCGACCCCTCCCCAGTGCTGCACGGCCCCGCATGGCCCCCCCCTGCCCCGCCGTCCGTCTGTCCTCGTCCCCCCCCGTGTGTCTGTCTGTCCCTGCCCCCGGTGCTGTCTGTGCCCCCCGGGTCCCCTGGGGGGGGTGGGCTGTGCCCCCCCAGCCCCCCCAGCTGAGCTCGGCCCCTTTTGTCTCCCGAGGAACCCCCACGAGCCCGAGAGCAAGGAGCGGGTGGAGACCCTCAGGTGAGTCGGGGACACCCCGGGGACACCCTGGGGACACACCTGGGGTCCCTGTGACACTCTGGAGACACACCTGGGGTCCCTGTGACACCCTGGGGACACCCCCGGGGTCCCTGTGACACCCTCGGGGTCCCTGTGACACCACTGGCGTCCTTGTGGCACTCCTGGGGACACCCCTGGGGTCTCTGTGACACCCCCAGGGTCCCTGTGACACCCTGGGGACACCCTCGGGGTCCCTGTGACACCCTGGGGACACCGCTGGGGTCGCTGTGACACCCCCGGGGTCCCTGTGACACTCCTGTGGATACCCCGGGGTCCTTGTGACACCCTGGGGACACCCCTGGGGTCCTTGTGACACCCCTGGGGGCACCCCTGGGGTCCCTGTGACACCCCCGGGCTCCCTGTGACACCCCTGGGGTCCCTGTGACACTCCTGGGGACACCCCCGGGGTCCCTGTGACACCCTGGGGACACCCCTGGGGTCCCTGTGATACCCCTCGGGGTCCCTGTGACACCCTGGGGACACCCCTGGGGTCCCTGTGACACCACTGGCATCCTTGTGGCACTCCTGGGGACACCCCTGGGGTCGCTGTGACACCCCTGGGGTCCCTGTGACACCACTGGGGATACCCCGGGGTCCTTGTGACACCCTGGGGACACCCCCGGGTTCCCTGTGACACCCCTGGGGTCCCTGTGACAACCCCAGGGGTGACCAACTCCCCTTGGTGGCCCCACGGTGCTCCCCCAGATCTGCAGTGTGCCCCGAGAAGGAGCCCCAGGACCCCCCAATTCCCCCCCAGACCCACAATGGGCCCCGAGAAGGACCCCCAGCACCCCCTAACCCCCAATTCCCTCCCCCCAGACCCGCGGTGGGCCCCGAGAAGGAGCCGCGCGAGGCCGGGCGCGACGCCAAGCCGCGCTCGCTGCGCTTCACGTGGAGCATGAAGACCACGAGCTCGCTGGAGCCCGGGGAGATGCTGCGCGAGATCCGCAAGGTGCTGGACGCCAACAGCTGCCGCTGCGAGCCGCAGGAGCGCTTCGTGCTGCTCTGCGCCCACGGCGCGCCCGGCCACGACTCCTTCGTGCAGTGGGAGATGGAGGTGTGCAAGCTGCCCCGGCTCTCGCTCAACGGCGTCCGCTTCAAGCGCATCGCCGGCACCTCCATGGCCTTCAAGAACATCGCCTCCAAGGTGGCCAACGAGCTCAAGCTCTGAGCCGCGGCCCGGGCGCCGCGGCTCCGGGGACACGGACACGGCGGCTCCGCGCTGGCCAAGGAGCTCCGGCTCCGAGCCACGGACACGGCGAGCCCAGAGCGCCTCCGAGGTGGCCCCGGAGCTCCGGCTCCGAGCCACGGACACGGCAGGGACGCCCGCGGGGGGACACGGGAGCGCCGGGATGGATCTGGGCATGGATGGCCTGGATGGACCTCGAGGGCGCTCCGGGACTTGGTGGGCACAGCCTGGGTGGAGCCAGGAGCTCCTGGATGGACCTGAGATGTCCAGGATGGACCTGAGAGCCTGAGATAGGCCTGGGATGTCCAGGAGGAGCCCGGGAGCTCCTGGATGGACCTGGGGTGTCCAGGATGGATCTGGGAGCCCGGGATGGACCCGGGATGTCCAGGATTGGCCCGGGATGTCCACGAGGGACCTTCTGTGGGGTCCAGGAGCATCCTAACTGGACCCGGGACCTCCAGAGGTCACCTGGCTGGACCTTGTGCGGGGTCCAGGTGTCCGTGGGGACACCCTGGATGGACCCGGGATCTCTGGAGCTCACCTGGCTGGGCCTGGGACCACCGGGATGCACCTGAGGCCGTTCTGTGGCCTCCAGGGCCCTGTGAGGATGTGGGGACATCCCGGGTGGGCCTCTGGGGACAGGGCCAGGGTGCCAGGGGCCCCTGGGAGCTGCTGGGGACATCCCGGTGGCCCAGGGACCTGGGGGCATCTTCTGGGCGGGGGGAACAAGGCCGGCCTGAGGACAGGGACACAGCCGGGGTGGCCCAGGGACCTCTGGGGACATCGTGGGGACATCGTGGGTGGCCCCGGAGCCCCCGGGGATGTCCCTGGTGGCCCTCGGGGACAGCCGGGGTGGCCCGGGGCGGCGTGGGGACATCCCGGGACAGTCCGGGGGTGGCCTTAGGGGGGTGGGGGTGTCCCCTCCCCCCCCCCCGTGGGGATGTCCCCTGCCCCTCCCCCCCTTGGGACATTCTGTCCCCTCCCCCCGCACTCAGGAAGGCCCCGGGGGGGTGGGGGGAGGGGCGGGGGCGCTGCTGCTGCCGGGGGTGGCTCCGGGGTGGGGGTGGGGCGGCCCCGCCCTCCTCCCCTCCCCCACTTTTGTCCTGCTGTTGCCCCGCCCCTGGGGGTGGGGACACTCCGGGGGAGGGGCCAGGCCCAGGCCACGCCCCCTCTGCGGTGGATTTTCCAGGTTCTAATTAAAAACTTTCCAGAAAGATCCGCGGGCTCCAAGTGGTGCTGGAGGGTGAGACGGGGTCCTGCTGCAGAGCCGGGTCCGGACCAGTGCTCCCAGTGCAAACCAGTGCAAACCAGTGTTCCCAGTATGAACCAGTGTTCCCAGTATGAACCAGTGCTCCCAGTCCAGGACAGTGCTCCCAGTCCGGACCCGTGCTCCCAGTATGAACCAGTGCTCCCAGTCTGGATCGGTGCTCCCAGTACAGGCCAGTGCTCCCAGTGCAGACCAGTGCTCCCAGTCTGGACCAGTGCTCCCAGTCCGGACCAGTGCTCCCAGTCCGGACCAGTGCTCCCAGTATGAACCAGTGCTCCCAGTCCAGGACAGTGCTCCCAGTCCAGGACAGTGCTCCCAGTACAGGCCAGTGCTCCCAGTGCAGACCAGTGCTCCCAGTATGAACCAGTGCTCCCAGTCCAGACCAGTGTTCCCAGTCCGGACCAGTGCTCCCAGTCTGGACCAGTGCTCCCAGTACAGGTCAGTGCTCCCAGTACAGACCAGTGCTCCTAGTACAGGCCAGTGCTCCCAGTGCAGGCCAGTGCTCCCAGTCCGGACCAGTGCTCCCAGTATGAACCAGTGCTCCCAGTCCAGACCAGTGTTCCCAGTCCGGACCAGTGCTCCCAGTCTGGACCAGTGCTCCCAGTACAGGTCAGTGCTCCCAGTCCGGACCAGTGCTCCCAGTCTGGATCGGTGCTCCCAGTACAGGCCAGTGCTCCCAGTGCAGACCAGTGCTCCCAGTCCGGACTAGTGCTCCCAGTACAGGCCAGTGCTCCCAGTCCGGACCAGTGCTCCCAGTGCAGACCAGTGCTCCCAGTCCGGACCAGTGCTCCCAGTGCTCCCAGTACTCCCAGTGCTCCCAGTGCTCCCAGTGCCCCAGCACGCGCAGCCGCTGTAATAAAATACTTTTATTGCCAACGGGGACCCCCCCCGCCCCCCCCCCCCCCCCCCGCTCCTCCGGCCCAGCAGGGGGCGCTCAGCGCGGGGGGGCGTGGCCCGCGGCGGGTGGGCGTGGCCTGGCGGCGGGGGCGTGGCCAGGGCGGAGCAGCGGGGGCGGGGCCCGGCCGGGCTGGAGGGGGGGGGGCGGCCGCGGGAGCGCGGGGGGCGGGGCCGGGGGCGGGGCCGGGCGCAGCAGCGGGGGCGGGGCCGGGGGGCGCGAGGGGGGCGGGGCCGAGGAGGGGGGCGGAGTCGGGTGGGACACGCCCGTGATCTGCACCTGTGGAGAGAGGCGGGACTGAAGTGGGCGGGGCTAGAGTGGGCGGAGCTAAAGCTGGAGTGGGCGGGGCTAGAGTGGGTGGGGCTCGAGTGGGCGGGGCTGCAGTGGGCGGGGCAGGGGCTGGGCGGGGCTGCGGCTGGAGTGGGTGGGACCAGGATTTGGGGTGGGGGCAGGTCCAGGATGGGGCCTGGGTTTGAGAAGAGGGGGTGGGGCTCAGGGTGGCAGGGCTGTGTCGTGGGTGGGGCGTGGCAATTGATTGATTGGGGTGTGATTGATTGATTGATTGATTGATTGATTGATTGAGGTGTGATTGATGGATGGATGGATTGATTTGGGGAGGGGTCAATGGGGCAGATTGATTGATGGATTGATGGATTGATTGATGGATTGATTCATTGATTGATTGGGGGTCATTGATTGATTGAGGCATGATTGATGGATGGATGGATTGATTTGGGGAAGGGTCATTGGGGTGGATTGATTGATGAATTGATTGATTGATTGATTGATTGATTGGGGTGGGTTCATTGTCTGGGCAGGGTGTGGGACTGCCTCCGATGTGCATCTGGGCCCAGTCCAGGATCAGGACTGGGCCCAGTCCACCCCCCCAGCCCAGGACTGGGACCAGTTGCCAGCTCAGCCCCACCCCAGCCCTTCCTCACCTCCTCCTCTTCCTCGGGCTCGGGGCGCTCCCCGGGGGGCTCCCCCTGGCCCTGGCGCTCCTGCAGGAGCCGCTCGAGGCCGAGGCGGCGCCGGGGGCCCAGCACGAAGCTCCGAACCTGCGCCGCCGTTTTGTTGCCCAGCACGGCCGCCACCGCCGGGAAGTCGCGGCCGTAGCGGCGCAGGGCTGGGGACAGGGACACGGCGCTGAGGGACCCCGGGGCCGGCGGTGGCCGCGGCGGGTGGCCTGACGAGGGGGGACACTCACCCTGCACCACCAGCAGCTGCTCGTCCGTCGTCCAGCGCGAGCTGAACCTGCTGCTGCCCTGCGGGTGAGCGGAGAGGTGATTTCAGGGGGACACAGCTGGGAGCTGCCGGGGCACCGTGGGGACACCGTGGGGACACCGTGGGGACACCGTGGGGCACACGGGGACCCACCTCGGGCGGCCGCAGCCCCTCCAGGCCCCCGTCCAGCGCCTGCCTGAGGCCGCTGTTGATCTGCTTGATGCGCTGCACCTGCGGGGATCGGGGAGGGGGCTCACAGGGGTCCTGGGGGCGTCCCCGGGGGTGTCCCCGAGGTGTCCCCGAGGTGTCCCCGAGCCTCACCTGCCGTTTCAGGGCCACCAGCTGGCAGTCCAGCTGGCGCAGCGCCCGCGCCCCCAGGTCGGGGTTGGCCGTCACCTCGGCCACGTCCTCGCGGCTCAGGCGCATCCCGCGGGGGGGGCGGCGCCGCTGCCGCGCCGGGGGGTGGTGCCGGTACTGCGGCTCCTTGCGCGGCCCCGCCTTGGGGTAGCAGGGCTGGTAATTAGTTCAGTTTGTTAATTAGTTCCGTTACTTTAATCGGTTACTGCTGGGGAAACCCCCCCGAGCACCCCCCCGCCCCCACCTGGAGTTGGTACATCCCGCCCCGGCCGCTGCTCTCCCGCCCCCCCCCAGCAGGGGGCGCCACCCCCGTCCCATTTCTGGGGCTTTTCCCCCAATTTTTGGGGTCTCCCCACCCTCCACCACCTCCCCCTTGTTGTTTCCAGGGGTTCCTCCCCATTCCCAAAGATTCCCCCAAATTTTGAGGGTCCCGCAGCCTCTTTAGAGCCCCCCCCTCACCCCAGCTCCTCCCTCCTGGAGGGATTCACTCCGTTTTTGGGGGTCTGGCTCCTTATTTGGGGGGTTTGCCCCATTCCCTCCCTTTCCTGATCACCCCACCCTTGAGCCCACCCCCCAAATTTCACCCTGTGACCCCCCCCCGAGCCCCCCTCGTGCCCCCCAACCTCTTTTTTGGGGTCCGGGGGCTCCACGTCCCCCTCGGGGCTGGGTCGGTGCTCATCGGTCTCGTCGTTGCTGCGGGGCCAGAGGGGATTTGGGGGGTTTTGGGGGTTTTTGGGGATTTTGGGGGGTTTGGGAGGTTTTGGGAGGTTTTTGGGAAAGTTTTTGGGGAGGTTTTGCGAAGGTTTTGGGGAGGTTTTTGGGGAGGTTTTGGGAAAGTTTTTAGGGAGATTTGTGAGGAGGTTTTTGGGGAGGTTTTGGGAAAGTTTTTGGGGAGATTTTGGGAAAAGCTTTGGGGATGTTTCTGGGAAGGTTTTTGGGGAGGTTTTTGGAAGGTTTTAGGGAGGCTTTGGGGCCATTTTTACAAAGGTTTTTGGAAGCTTTTGGGGAGGTTTTTGGGGAGATTTTGGGGCAGTTTTTAGGAAGGTTTTGGGGTGGTTTTTAGGAAGGTTTTTGGGGCGTTTTTCAGAAGATTTTTGGGAAGGTTTAGGGGAGCTCAGGGTGGGATTTTGGGGGGTCCTGTACCTGTCGTCACGGTCTCGGCGGCCCAGCAGGCGCCGGGCCTGGCGGTCCATGACACTGGTGCGGGACCGCGTTTTCTTCCAGGAATAATAATATTTAACCAGGCTGGGGATGAGCTTGTCCGGGAGCTGGGGGGCACAGAGGGGTTTGGGGGGGCACAGAGGGGTTTGGGGGGGCACAGAGGGGTTTGGGGGGGCACAAAGGGGTTTGGGGAGGTTTTGGGGGGGTTTGGGGGGCACAGAGGGGTTTGGGGGGGCACAGAGGGGTTTTGGGGGGGCACAGAGGGGTTTGGGGGGGCACAGAGGGGTTTGGGGGGGCACAGAGGGGTTTGGGGGGCACAGAGGGGTTTGGGGGGCACAGAGGGGTTTGGGGGAGCACAGAGGGGTTTGGGGGGCACAGAGGGGGTTTGGGGAGGTTTTGGGGGGGTTTGGGGAGGTTTTGGGGGGGGTTTGGGGGGCACAGAGGGGTTTGGGGGGGCACAGAGGGGTTTTGGGGGGGCACAGAGGGGTTTGGGGGGCACAGAGGGGGTTTGAGGGGGTGTTTGAAAAACCAAAAAAAAAAAAAAAAAAAACCCAAAAACTCCTCAAAAAGCCCCAAAAAACCCCAGAAAGGCGCCCGAAAAAATCCCAAAAAATCCCCCTAAAACTCCCATCGCTCTGAGGGTGGCACTGCCGCCCTGCGCCCGCCCCGGGGGTTTTTGGGGTGCGTTTTGGGGTGTCTCTGACCATCTGCTGGATGCGGGCGAAGCTCTTGCCGTGGAAGCTGAAGGCCTGTTCGAACAGCACTTTGTCCTCCACCGTCCACTCGTCCGGGAAGGGCGTGAAGTTGGCCAAGTCCGCCAGGGACTTCTCCACGTCGTGTTTGTGCCACAGCAGCATGCCCAGCGCCTGCCGGGCACGGCGGGTGGGTTTGGGGGGTCCCGGGGGGGCGGGGAGGGCATTTCGGGGTGTCCCAGTTGGGTCAGGAGGGGTTTGGGGGTGTCCTGAGGGGATCTGGGGGGGTCAGGAGGGGTTTGGGGGCACCCTATGGGGATCTGGGGGTGCCCTGAGGGGGTCAGGAGGAGTTGGGGGGAGTCCCAGGGGGGTCAGAGGGGGTTTGGGGGTGCCCCAGGGGGGTCAGAGTGGGTTTGGGGGTGTCCCGGAGGGGTTGGGGGGGTTGGGGGTGTCCCAATTGGGTCAGGAGGGGTTTGGGGGTGTCCCGGAGGGGTTGGGGGGGGTTGGGGGTGTCCCAATTGGGTCAGGAGGGGTTTGGGGGTGTCCTGAGGGGATCTGGGGGGGTCAGAGGGGGTTTGGGGGTGCCCCAGGGGGGTCAGAGTGGGTTTGGGGGCGTCCCGGAGGGGTCAGGGGGGGTTTGGGGGTGTCCCAATTGGGTCAGGAGGGGTTTGGGGGTGCTCCAGGGAAGGGCAAGAGGGGTTTGGGGGTGTCCTGAGGGGATCTGGGGGGACCAGGAGGGGTTTGGGGGCACCCTGTGGGGATCTGGGGGTGCCCTGAGGGGGTCAGGAGGAGTTGGGGGGGGGTCCCAGGGAGGTCAGAGGGGGTTTGGGGGGGTCCCAGGGGGATCAGGGGGGGTTTAGGGGTGCCTTGGTGGGGAAAAGAGGGGTTTGGGGGCACCCCATGGGGGTCAGGAGGGGTTTTGGGAACACCTCGGGGGTCTCAGGGAGGATTTGGGGGTCCCGGGGGGGGGATTTGGGGGTCTCAGGGAGGATTTGGGGGTCCCGGGGGGGGGATTTTGGGGGTCCTGAGGGGGATTTGGGGGTCCCGGGGGGGGGATTTGGGGGTCCCGGGGGGGATTTGGGGGTCCCAGGGGGGGATTTGGGGGTCCCGGGGGGGGGATTTGGGGGTCCCGGGGGTCGCTACCTGCTCGATGTTGTAGCCGTGCTTGTCCTTGGCCATGGCGATGTACCTGTCCACTGGGGGGGTTTGGGGATCAGGGGGGGTTTTGGGGGGGTCAGGGGTGTTTTGGGGGGTCGGGGGGGGTTTTGGGGGGTCAGGGAGTCGGGGGGGTAAAAAGGGGGTGTGGGAGGGGGTCAAAGGGTTTTTGGGGGTTCTGGAGGAGTTGGGGATGAATGAAAGGGGAGATTTGGGGTGTCCCGGGGGGGGGGGGGGGCACACCGGACGCCCCCTCCCCATCAGGACCCCCCGTTTTTGGGGGCGGGGGGCTCACGTTTGGCGTCGGACACGCAGTGGTTGGGGGCCCACACCAACATCCCCTTCAGCTCCGCGTTGCTGTAGCGGGCGGGACTCTCTGGGGGGGGGCACGGGGGTCACCGGGGGACCCCCAAACCCCCCCCGGGACCCCCGCGGGACCCCCCCGGGACCCCCGGGACCCCTCCCCACGGCTCCGTACCTGGTTTGCAGTCGGGAATCACCGCCTGGTAGTCGGCCCCCACCCGGATCATGCTGTCTGCGGCGGGAGGGGCGCGGGGCTTTACCGGGGGGGAGTCCGCACCGACCCCCGGACCCCCCCCAGCACCGGGGGGGCCCGGCCGAGCCCCCCCCGGCGGGAACAAAGCGGCGGCCGCGCACACGCGGTTGTCCCGGGGACAATGGGGACAATGGGGACAATGGGGACGGGGCTTTGTTCGCCCCCAGCCCCAAAATGTCCCCGCGGGGGGGGCGCCCCCTCCCCAAATCCCCGCGGTGTTCCCGTTATTTTGGGGGGGTGGGCGCACCGGGGGATGTCCCGGGGGGCGTTTTTGGGGTTGATTTTTTGGGGGGGGTCGCTCACCGTGGCCGTGCTCGTCCTCGCTGGCCTCGTCCTCCGAGGGGGGGGGTCCCGCGGCGCCCCCGGCCCGGGAGCGGCTCCGGGACAGGATCGCCGGGGGCTTCTCCATCACCGCCGGCATCGCCACCGGAGCCACCGGAGCCCCACCGGAGCCCCCCGCCCAAACCCCCCCCAAACCGGGGGGTCCCGGGAGGGGCGTGGGAATTCGGGGCGGGCCCGGGGTGGGGGGGTCTGGAATTTGGGGGGGGGTCCCGAGCCCGCCGAGCCCGCACAAAGCGCCGCCGCCGCCGGTGCCGAAGTAGTTCCAGCGGCCTCAGCACGGCCCCCCCGCCCCCCGTAGCCCTCCGCGCCACCGGGGGCACCGGGGGGGGATGTGGGGCAGGGATGTGGGGTCGTTCCGGGCTCTCCGGTACCGGTTTGACCCGTACTGAGCTCTCCGGTACCGGTTTGACCCATTTGGAGCTCTCCGGTACCGGTTTAACCCGTACCAAGCTCTCCGGTACCGGTTTAACCCGTACCAAGCTCTCCGGTACCGTTTTTAACCCGTTCCGGACCGTTCCGGACTCTCCGGTACCGGTTTGACCCATTTGGAGCTCTCCGGTACCGGTGTAACCCGTACCAAGCTCTCCGGTACCGGTTTAACCCGTACCAAGCTCTCCGGTACCGTTTTTAACCCGTTCCGGACCGTTCCGGACTCTCCGGTACCGGTTTGACCCATTTGGAGCTCTCCGGTACCGGTTTAACCCGTACCAAGCTCTCCGGTACCGTTTTTAACCCGTTCCGGACCGTTCCGGACTCTCCGGTACCGGTGTAACCCGTTTGGAGCTCTCCGGTACCAGTGTAACCCGTACCAAGCTCTCCGGTACCGTTTTTAACCAGTACCAAACTCTCCGGTACCGGTGTAACCCGTTTGGAGCTCTCCGGTACCGTTTTTAACCCGTACCAAACTCTCCGGTACCGGTTTTAACCCGTTCCGGACCGTTCCGGACTCTCCGGTACCGGTGTAAACCGTTTGGAGCTCTCCGGTACCGGTGTAACCCGTACCAAACTCTCCGGTACCGTTTTTAACCCGTTCCGGACTCTCCGGTACCGGTTTAACCCGTACCAAGCTCTCCGGTACCGTTTTTAACCCGTTCCGGACTCTCCGGTACCGGTTTAACCCGTACCAAACTCTCCGGTACCGTTTTTAACCCGTTCCGGACTCTCCGGTACCGGTTTAACCCGTACCAAACTCTCCGGTACCATTTTTAACCCGTTCCGGACTCTCCGGTACCGGTTTAACCCGTACCAAGCTCTCCGGTACCGTTTTTAACCCGTTCCGGACCGTCCCGGACTCTCCGGTACCGGTTTTGACCCCGCCCCCAATGAAGGCCCCGCCCCCTCAGCGCAGTGGGCGTGGTCTCCTGCGTCCCCGCCCACTTTGCTCTCAGCCAATCAGCGCCGAGCCGCCTTCGCGCCCCGCGCCGCCGCCACGCGCCCGCTCCGCCCCGCCCATCCCGCACGCGCGGCGGCCCCGCCCCCTTCGCCCCGCCCCTTTCCCCCTCCGCGCCTGCGCATTGGCCGCCGGCCGCGGGCTCGCGCGCTCTGCGACCCCCCCCCTTATAAATAGCGCGCCCCCCGCGCGCGCCCCCTCAGAAGCTCCGCGCCCCCCGCCCCGTCCGCAGCCGTCGCCGCCGCCATCATGGGGGTGAGCGGAGCCGCGCAGCGCTCGGGGGGGCTCGGCCTGAGGGGAAGTTGTGCAGGGGTGGGGCCTGCGAGGCGCCGCTGAGCGGATTTGGGGCCGCCTGAGCGGGTGGAGGTCGGCGCGAGGGAATTTGGGGTCGTCTCGGAGGGTTGGAGGTCGCCGCGAGGCCTTCCGGGGGTTCTGTGACCGCGTTTGGGACCCTCTCAGAAGATGGGGAGGCTCTTTGGGATAGTACAGCGCTCCTACGGCGGGATTTGGGGACTGGGGGCTCCTATGTGGAGATTTGGGACTTTCCGTGAGGTTCTGGGGTTGTTTGAGGTCATGCGGAGCTCTTGGGAGGATGCTTGTGCCTCTGCCAGGGGTCTGGATGCTGCTGGGAGGAAATTGGGACTTTTTGGGCTCTCGGAGGCTCTTGAGGCTTTTGTGAGGGTTTTAGAAGCTTTCGTGAGCATTTGAGGTTCCCACGGCAAAATGCGGGATTTTCTGAGGGGATTTGGGGCTCCCTGAGGGGATTTGGGGCTGTTTTGGGAGGATTTGGGGCTGGGCTTCCCCAGACTCCTCCCGTGATGTCCCATCCAACCACCTGCTGCAAAATTCCCGTGTTTTCCCCCCAGAATGGCCCTAAAGTGGAGATTTTAGCATCCATATCCTGGCCAGCAGCAGGTGCTGGCTGCTCCAACCCCCAAAACACTTTTAATTCCCCCACACCCAGTGACAGATGAGTTTTTGAGGGACATTTACCCTGTCCCCCTCCCCACCCTGCTGCTTTTCTTGTCACATCTTTCTTTTGGGTGCACTTCGCCTGATTTTGGTGACTCTGAAGCTCAGCAATCTCTTTAACCGGAGCTTAGGGGGGATCCCAGCAGGATCCCTCATTTTGGGTGAAATCACCCGCATTTTTTGTGCCAATTTCCTCAGATTTGGGGAAAGCCACTCCAAAGGAACAATTTTACGTGACTGCTGCTCGCTGCCACCTCCTTGTCCCACCTAAAACCCCCGAGATTTTGGGGCAAAACCCCTTCAAACTGCATCACCCCAGCAGCAACAACACCCCCACAGAGAGACTAAAAACTCAATGCTGATTTTCTCCCTAAACCACGTTTTTCTCTGAGATTTTGGGACACCCCTCTCTCCTCACCTGCAGCTCCACGCTGATGACTTTTGGCGTTCGTTAATGACTTTGGGGCAGAACTTTTGGGCTCGCTGGCGGGCAGAGCGTCCCGCCGGTGGGGATGGCCGGGCTTTGGTGCCAATTCCCAGGGTTTTGGTGCGTTTTTACCCCAGAGGAAGTCGAGCAAAGCCAAGGAGAAGAAGCAGCGGCGGCTGGAGGAGCGCGCGGCCATGGCCGCTGTCTGCGCCAAGGTCGAGGCCGCCAACAAAGTGAGTGTGGCGAGCAGAACCGGGGAGGAAAGGGCCGGAATCGGTGCCAGCCCCGCTGCCCTCGGCCGCTCTCTGCTCTCTTCCAGCTCCAAGATCCCCTCGAGGCCTTCCCGGTGTTCAAAAAGTACGACAGGAACGGGTGAGTGCCGGCGCTCCCGGTGTCCCCGAGGCTGTTCCTGGTGTCCCCGAGGCTGATCCCGGTGTCCTCAATGTGTCCCCAGCATGTTCCTGGTGTCCCCAAGGCTGATCCCGGTGTCCCCAGAGTGTTCCCGGTGTCCCCAAGGCTGATCCCGGTGTCCCCAGCATGTTCCCGGTGTCCCCAAGGCTGATCCCAGTGTGTTCCCGGTGTCCCCAAGGCTGATCCCGGTGTCCCCAGCATGTTCCCGGTGTCCCCAAGGCTGATCCCGGTGTCCTCAATGTGTTCCCAGTGTGTTCCTGGTGTCCCCGAGGCTGATCCCGGTGTCCCCAGAATGTTCCCGGTGTCCCCAAGGCTGATCCCGGTGTCCCCAGAGTGTTCCTGGTGTCCCCAAGGCTGATCCCGGTGTCCTCAATGTGTTCCCAGTGTGTTCCTGGTGTCCTCGAGGCTGATCCCGGTGTCCCCAGAGTGTTCTCAATGACCCCAAACCTGATCCCAGTGTCCCCAGAACGTCCCTGGTGTCCCCAAACCTGATCCCAGTGTCCCCAGAACGTCCCTGGTGTCCCCAAGGCTGATCCCGGTGTCCCCAGAACGTCCCTGGTGTCCCCGAGGCTGATCTCGGTGTTCCCGGTGTGTTCTTGATGTCCCTGAGGCTGATCCCAGAGCGTCCCCAGAGTGTTGCTGGTGTCCCCAGGGCCATTCCCAGTGCCTCTGGCACATCCCCAATGTCCCCAAGCCCCTCCCAGGGTCCCCCTCGTGTCCCCGAGCCCCTTCGCCGTGTCCCCACGGTGTCCCCGTGTGTCCCATGTGTCCCCAGGCTGAACGTGTCCATTGAGTGCCGCCGCGTGTCCGGCCTGGAGCCGTCCACCCTGGACTGGGCCTTCGAGCTGACCAAGGCCAACATGCAGACGCTGTGAGTGGCACCGATGGATTTTCCTGCCCCAAAATCGCCAGCACTGGAATTTTCCTCCCAACCCCTGCAATCTTCCTTGTTGCCTGTGATTTTGATTTCCCACCTCAGTTCCTGCTGTGATTTACCCCAAATCCTTGGGTTTTTTTCCCCCAAATCCCCAGGGCTTTCTCCCCCAAATCACCAGGTTTTTTTCCCCCAAATCCCTGGGTTTGTTACTCAACATGCCCTGGCAAAAACCTCTGGTTTCCTCACCCCAAACCTCATTTCCTCACCCCAAACCCCCATTTTTTGCCCCCACGCCCCGTTTCCCACCCCCCACGCCCCGTTTCTCCCGTGCCCAGCTACGAGCAGAGCGAGTGGGGCTGGAAGGAGCGGGAGAAGCGGGAGGAGCTGCGGGATGAGCGCGCCTGGTACCTGCTGGCCCGGGAGCCCGGCCACGGCCCCGTCGCCTTCTCCCACTTCCGCTTCGACGTCGAGTGCGGCGATGAGGTCCTGTACTGGTGAGGGGGGCTCGGATTTGGGGCTGGTCCCGGGGGTTTTGGGGTGTTTTGGGGTGTCTCCTGCAGCGACGAGGTCCTGTACTGGTGAGGGGGGCTCGGATTTGGGGCTGGTCCCGGGGGTTTTGGCGTGTTTTGGGGTGTCTCCTGCAGCGACGAGGTCCTGTACTGGTGAGGGGGGCTCGGATTTGGGGCTGGTCCCGGGGGTTTTGGGGTGTTTTGGGGTGTCTCCTGCAGTGACGAGGTCCTGTACTGGTGAGGGGGGCTCGGATTTGGGGCTGGTCCCGGGGGTTTTGGGGTGTCCTGTACTGGTGAGGGGGGCTCGGCTGTGAGGTCACCCCACAGTGGCTCTGGGGCCTTCCCGGGCTCTCAAAGGGTTTTGGGGTGTCCGTCCCAGGGTCTCAGGGGGGTTTTTGGGGTTTCTGTTCCCCGGGTCTCAAGGGGTTTTGGGGTGTCCGGTGCCAGGATCTCAGGGGGGGTTTTGGGGTGTTTTGGGGTGTCCCTCCTGCAGCTACGAGGTGCAGCTGGAGAGCCGGGTGAGGAGGAGGGGGCTGGGCAAGTTCCTGCTGCAGATCCTGCAGCTGGTGGCCAACAGGTCAGAGGGGTCTGGGGGAGATCTGGGGGGTTTGGGGGGGATATGGGGGGGTTTAGGAGGGAATGGAGGGGGTTTGGGATCAATCCATGGGGTTTGGGGGGAATATGTGAGGGTTTGGGGGGATTTGGGGAGGAATATGGGAGGGTTTGGGGAGATGGGGGGGTTTGGGGGCAGAACCAGGGGGAGTTTGGGTGAAATGGGGCAGTTTGGGGGGGAACTGGGGGTCTTTTGGGGTGAAACCGGGGCAGTCTGGGGGTAAAAGCAGCACAGGTTTTGGGGTAAAACTGGGGCAGTCTGGGGGTAAAAGCAGCACGGGTTTTGGGGTGAAACCGGGGCAGTTTTGGGCTGAACCAGGGCAGTTTTTGGGATGCCATTGGGCTGGTTTTTTGGAGTGAAACTGGGGCAATTTGGAGCCGAAGCAGGGCAGTTTTTGGGGTTCCACTGGGGCGGTTTTGGGGGTTCTACCTGGCCAGTTTTTGGGGTGAAACTGGGGCAGTTTTTGGGGTGAAACCAGGGCAGTTTGGAGCCCAACTGGGGCAATTTTTGGGGTTCCACTGGGTCGGTTTTTGGGGTTCCCCCGGGCCGGTTTTTGGGGTGAAACCAGGGCAGTTTGGAGCTGAGGCAGGGCGGTGTGTGGGGTTTCCCCGGGCCGGTTTTTGGGGTGAAAGCAGGGCATTTTGGAGCTGAGGCAGGGCAGTGTTTGGGGTTCCCCCGGGCCGGTTTTTGGGGTGACCCGGCGCCCCGTGCCCGCAGCACGCAGATGAAGAAGGTGATGCTGACGGTGTTCAAGCACAACCACGGCGCGCTGCAGTTCTTCCGCGAGGCGCTGCAGTGAGTGCGGGGACACCGGGGGGACACCGGGGGGACAATGGGGACACCGGGGGGACGGTGGCACCGGGAGGGGACACTGGGGACAGCTGTGACAGCTGTGGCACCCTGTCGTTGCAGTGACCGGGCGCCGCGGGCAGGCGGGGCAGGGGCACAGACAGAGGTGGGTGCTCGGGACCCAAATTCGGGGCTTTCGAAGGCGATTCTAGGGAAAATTTCCCTTTTTTTTGGTAATTTTCCTCTTTGCTGCCAGTTTTTTGTGGGGTTTTAGACCCTTTTAGACCCTTAAAAAACCCTTTTTTGGGTTTTTTAACCCGTTTACAGTTGTTTTTTTCAGCTGTTTGAAACTAATTTTCCAAAGTTTTTTCCCTTTTTCCTTTTATTTTTTTATACCAAGGCTTCTATCCTTTCCCATATTTATTTTAAACCTATATTTATAGGTTATATATTAATTTTTTGGGTTGTTTTGGTCCTTTTCTGGGGGAATTTTAAGCTCATTTTATGTTTTCTTTCCCTAGTTTTAGAGAAATAATTTTAACTCTCTGTTAGATTTTTAAACACATTTTTGGGGGTTTTGCTCCTTTCCTGAGGATTTTACAAACCCTGTTTTCAAGGTTTTAATCCCTTTTCCAAGTTTTTTTTCCCCTGATTTGTTTTAACCTTTTTTAACCCACTTTTCCACACATTTTCCCTTTTCCCCACCACTTTCCACAACCTTTTTTCTGCTTCCTGTAACCCAAATCTGGCATTTTTAGCCCCAAATTTCCTGAGACATTTTACATTTCTCTTTATTCTATTTTTTCCATTTTTTGCCTGTTTTCCACCCATTTTCCCAGGCTTTCAACCCCCTTTTCCCCAGGCTGTTTCCCCCCCTTCCCCAGATGGTTTTTAACCCTTTCTCCTCTGATTTTTGGGGGTTTTTACCCTTTTTTGGGTGCTGCTCCCCCCCCACCGCAGCCTTTCCCCTCCCACTGCCAGCATGGGGGGTGATGTGGGGGGGGTCAGGGTGACAAGGAGGGGGTCAGGGGGCGTTTTTAGGGGTCAGGAGGGATTTTGGGGGGTCAGGGGGGTTGGGGGGGTGGCTGTGACCCCGTGTCTCCGCCGTGTCCCCCCAGGTTCGAGGTGGACGCCACCTCCCCCAGCGTGTCCGGCTGCTGCGGGGACGATTCCTCCTACGAGATCCTGAGCCGCAGCACCAGATTCGGGGACCCCCACCCCGGGGGGGGCCCCTGCGCCGGCTGCTGCCACTGAGCCCCCCCAAAAACAGCCCCGGCCCAGCCTGGCGGGACCCTCGGGGCGGGTGACAAAAACGCCCCTTCCCCCCCCCTTTGCCGGCAGCGCGGCTTTGGGGGAGGAAAGGGGATTTTTGTGCTGGATACTTTATTTTATTTTATTTTATTTTATTTTATTTTATTTTATTTTATTTTATTTTATTTTATTTTATTTTATTTTATTTTATTTTATTTTTATTTTGTTTTTATTTTGTTTTTATTTTGTTTTATTTTTCTTTCTATTTTTATTTTATTTCTATCTCTATTTTATTTTTTTTCCTTTTTTTTTTTTTTCCGGCCGTTTTGTTTGTACGGGACAAATAATTAAATAAATAAATAAAAAAGAAACTTTAATCGCGGCTCCTGCGTTGGGGGGCGTGGCAGTGCACAGGGAGGCGGGGCTATGCTAATAAGCAGCGCGGCGATGAATAAATTATGCTAATGAGGAGGCACGGCCATAGAGGCGCCGTTAGCAGTGCGCAGCGGAAGTGACGTTAGAGCGCGCCGCCGCCATGCTGCCGCCCGCCGCCCTCCTCGCCCGCTCCGTCCTGCGTCCCGCGGCCCGACCGGGCCCGGGCCCGCGCGGGCTCCGCTCCGGGCCCGCGCTGAGCCCCGTCAGCACCGCGGTAAGCGCGGGGGGGCGCGGAACGCGGGGTGACCTTGGGCGGGGGGCGGTGACCGGTGACCGGCGCGGCTCTAACGGCGCTGTCCCCGCAGGACACCGTGCTGGGCCTGGCCGCCGTGTTCGTCTCGATCTTCGGGCCCGCAGCCTGGGTGCTGGCCCACATCCAGGACTACCGCAAACGCGAGGAGTGAGGCGGGCCCGCCGCACACCGGGACCAGCCGCTCCGGGAGCCCCGCGAGCACCGGGACCAGCGCCGGGACCGGCGGGAGGCTCCGCCGCCGCCGCCGCCCATGGGACCCTCCCCGCTCCCCCCGCCCCAATAAAGGAACCGCGGATTCCGCCCGAGGCGCTCTGTGTCCGTCCCGCCGTACCGGAACCGGGCTCTGACGTCACCGGTGGCGTCACCGGGAACGGCGCCGTTAGAGGGGGGGCTGGGGGAGGCTTGTTGCTAGGGGCGGAGCCTGTTGCTAGGGGCAAAACAATACCACCAATCAAATCACGGCGGAGCTCGTTGCTAGGGGCGGGGCCTGTTGCTGGGGCAGATCAATACCACCAATCAGATCGCGGCGGAGCTCGTTGCTAGGGGCGGGGCCTGTTGCTGGGGCCGATCAATACCACCAATCAGATTGGGGCGGGGCCAAGGCTGGGGCGGAGCCCCGCCCCTCCCGGTGTCCCCGGTGCGGGGCCGGTTCCGGGACCGCGGCCTCGATTCCCGCTCCGGTTTTGGGCGCCGGGGCCTCATTTGCATACCATTACCGGGGGCGGGGCCGCCCCGTTCCCGCCATTCCCCACTGGCGGAAGGCGTTGCTGTGGGCGGGGCCCGTTGCTATGGGCGTTACTTCCTTAGCCCCGCCCCCACCGGGGCGCGGCCTCTCCCCGTTCTTTTCCGGAAGTACCGGGGAGTTCTGTTCCGGTGCCGGCGGCACTTCCGGCGGAACGGACGTGGCAGTGACGTCAGCGCGGCCGGAGCCTCCCGGTGGCGGCGGCCGAGCCCGCGGTGAGGGGGGAGGGGCGGCACCGGGACCCCCTCGGTCGCTCCGGGGTCTCCCGGGCCGGGGCGGTCTTGGTTCGCGGGAGGCTCCCGGTGTGTCCCGTTCCCACCCCGGTAACCGGTGCCGCCGGTGTTCCAGAGCAGGCGATGAGCCCCGATGCAGGCGCGCCGCCGGCTCGGGCCTAGGCAGCGCGAACCGGGCGCGCCCCCGGGACCCCCCCGGTCGGCGGCGGCGCCGCCCCCCCCCCCGGAGCCCCCGCCCGCTGACGTCATGTCGTGTCGCGACAGGACCCAGGAGTTCCTCTTCGCCTGCCAATCGCTGCAGGGCCGCCAGGTGACCCCGGCTCCCCAAATCCCCCTGGGAGTTACCGGGGGGGGCTCCCCAAATCCCCTCCCCCGCTTTTCCCGTCCCCCCCAGCCCGGGGGTCCCCCCTGAGCCCCGTTTTCTCCGTTTCCCCCCCAGGACCGGGGGCTCCCGGCGGGCAGGGCCGGGCCCGGGCCGGGGCGGCCGCGCAGCGAGTTCAGCCTGATGGCAAAGTGAGGAGGGGGCTGGGGGGGGCAGGGAACCCGGGAATTGGGGGTCGGGATCCCTGGGAATTGTGGTGGGGGTCTCCAGGAATTTGGGGTCGGGATCCCTGGGAATTGGGGGTTGGAATCCCCAGGAATTGGGGGTAGGGGTCCCCAGGTGTGGGTGGTCAGGATCAGCAGGAATTGGGTTGGGGGTGTCCAGGAATTGGGGGTCAGGATCACCGGGAATTGAGGTGGGGGGTCCTGAGAATTGGGGGTTGGAATCCCCAGGAATTGGGGCGGGGGTCTCCAGGAATTGGGGGTGGGGGTCCCCAGGTATGGTGGGACGGGATCAGCAGGAATTGGGGTGGCGTTCTCCAAGAATTTGGGGTCAGGATCTCTGGGAATTGGGGTGGGGGTCCCCAGATGTGGATGGGGGTCCCGAAGGAATTGGGGTGGGGGTCTGAAGACCCCCCCAATCCCTGCCCCCTCCTCCCCGCAGGCGCATCGGGAAGGACCTGAGCAACACCTTCGCCAAGCTGGAGAAGCTGACCCTGCGTGAGTGGGGGGCTCTGGGGGTCCTGCGGGGCTTTGGGGGGCTTGGGGGATTCTGTGGGGATTTGGGGGATTCTGGGGGGCTTTGGGGTGTCCTGGGGGGGGTTGGGGGTCTGTGGGGGTCTCTGTGACCCCCCTGACCCCCCCACAGTGGCCAAGCGCAAGTCGCTGTTCGACGACAAATCGGTGGAGATCGAGGAGCTGACCTACATCATCAAACAGGTGGAGGGGGGGGGCGTTTTGGAGGGTCCGGGGGCCGGTTTTGGGGTGCCCCTGACCCCGGTGTGCCCCCCAGGACATGGGCAGCCTGAACACGCAGATCGCGGCGCTGCAGGAGCTGCTGCGGGCGCGGCGCGGCCCCGGCGGGCGGCACCTGCAGAGCCACTCCAGCGGCGTCCTGCTGTCCCTGCAGGTGGGCTGGGGGCTTGAGGGAGGGCTTGGGGGGGGGATTGTGGTTTTTTGGGGGTGTTGGGAGGTTTTGGGGTTTTTTTTTGGGTTTTTTTTGGGTTTTGTAGGGGGTTTTTGGGGGGGGTTTAGGGAGTTTGGAGAGTTTGGGGTGGTTTTTTTTGGGGGGGTTGGGATTTTTTTGGGGGGTTCTTGGAGGTTTTTGGGGGGTTTAGGGGATTTTGGGGTTGGTTTGGGTTTTTTTGGGGGCAGTTTTGGGGTTTTGGGGGCTTTTGGGGGTTCAGGGACCCCCCACTGACCACCCCCCCACACCTGTCCCCCCCTCAGTCCAAACTGGCCTCGATGTCCAACGACTTCAAATCGGTGCTGGAGGTGCGGACGGAGGTGAGCGGGGGCTGCTGCTGCTTTTTATTTTTCTTCCTTTGTCTTGTTCCTCTTTTTTCTTTTCCCTCTTTTTTCTTTTCTCTCCTTTTTGTTTTTTTTTTCTTTTCTTTTCCCTCTTTATTTTTTCTTTTTTTTTTCCTCCTTTCTCATTTTTCTTTTCCCTCTTTTTTCTTATTCTTCATCTTTTCCCTCTTTTTTCTTTTTCCTTTTTTTCTTTACCCTGTTTTTCTCTTTTTTCTCTTTTATCTTCTTCTTTTTTTTTCTTTTCCCTCTTTTTTATTTTTTCTCCTTGCTCTCCCCCTTCCTCTTTTCACATTTTTACCTTTTTGGTTTTTGCTCATTTCTCATTTTTTTCTTGTTCTTGTCACAATTTTTTATCCCTTTCCTGCTTTTTTGTTCTCCTACTTTTTCCTTTTCCCTCGCTTTTCCTTTTTTTATTTTTCTGCTGCTTTCTCACTTCTATTTCTCCTCTTTCTCCAATTCTGTTCTTCTCCTTATTCCACATTTCCCCCTCTTCTCCCCATTTTCCCTCCCTTTTCCCCCATTTTCTTTCCATTTTCTCCCCATTTTCCCTCCCTTTTTTCCCTGTTTTCTCTCTTTTTTCCCCATTTCCCCTCCCTTTTCTCCCCATTTTTTCCCCATTTTCCCCTCATTTTCTCTCCCTTTTTTCCCCATCCCCCCCCCCCCATTTTCTCTCTCTTTTTTCCCCATTTTTCCCTGGTTTTGCCCCAGAACCTGAAGCAGCAGCGCAGCCGTCGGGAACATTTCTCCCGCGCCCCCGTCTCCGCCCTGGCCGCCAACAACCTTGGTGAGCTGGGAATTCCTGGGAATTCCTGGGAATTCTTGGGGGGGGAGAGAATTTTGGGGGGGGTCTGGGTGGGAAATGGGAATTTTGGGGGAATTTGGGTGATAAAAGGGGAATTCTGGGTGGGAGATGGGATTTTTGTGGAATTTAAAGATAATTCTGGGTGATAAAAGTGGAATTCCGGGTGGGAAATGGGAATTTTGTGGAATTCTGGGTGGGAAATGAGTATTTAGAGGGAATTCCAGGTGATAAAAGCGGAATTCCGGGTGGGAAATGGGAATTTTTTTGGTATTCAGAGAGAATTTGGGTGGTAAAAGCAGAATTCTGGGTGGGAGATGGGAATTTTTGCGGAATTCTGTGGGAATTCTGGGTGGGAGATGGGATTTTTATGGAATTCAGGGTGGGAGATGGGCATTTTACGGAGTTCAGAGAGAATTTGGGTGATAAAATCAGATTTTGGGCTCCTTCCCAGGCAGCCCGGCTGTGCTCCAGCCCGAGCCGCAGCGCCCGGGGGCCGTGGCCATCGAGATGGATGGCAGGACGAGCCAGCAGCTGCAGCTGCTGGATGAGCAGGTTTGGATCCCCAGGAAAACCCCAGGAAAAGGGATTTTGGGGGGATTTGGGGGGATTTGGGGGATCTGGGGTTGGGGCAGCCCCGCAGCCTGGCCCTGCCCGCAGGACTCGTACATCCAGAGCCGCGCCGACACCATGCACAACATCGAGTCCACCATCGTGGAGCTGGGCTCCATCTTCCAGCAGCTCGCACACATGGTCAAGGAGCAGGAGGAGACCATCCAGAGGTGAAAAATCCCCCAAATTCCCTTCCCTGAACCCCCAAATTCCTTCCCTGAACCCCCAAATTTCCTTCTTTGACTCCTCCAAATTCCCCTCCCTGAGTTCCCCCAAATTCCCTTCCCTGAACCCCCAAAACTCCTTCCCTGAATCCCCAAATTCATCTCCTTGAATCCTCCAAACTCCCCTCCCTGAACCCCCAAATTCCCCTCCCTGAACCCCCAAATTCCCTTCCCTGAACCCCCAAATTCCCTTCCCTGAACCCCCAAAACTCCTCTGAATCCCCAAATTCATCTCCTTGAATCCCCAAATTCATCTCCTTGAAGCCTCAATATTCCCCTCCCTGAACCCCCAAATTCATCTTCCTGAGCCCCCAAATTTCCCTCTTTGACTCCTCCAAATTTCCCTCCCTAACTCTTCCAAATTCCCCTGAGTCCCCAAATTTCCCTCCCTAACTCTTCCAAATTCCCTTTCTGAGTTCCCCCAAATTTCCCTCTCTCCCCGACTCCTCCAATTTCTCCTGTTTCCCCCCCCATTTTCCCCAATTTTTCTGTCATTTTCCCCCCATTTCCTCCAAGTTTCTGTCATTTTCTCCCTATTCCCCCCTAATTTCCCCTCATTTTCCTGTAATTTTTTTCCCCAATTTTCCCCCATTTCACCCCATTTGCTCCAATTTTTCTGTAATTTTTCCCCCATTTCCCCCCAATTTCCTTGTCATTTTTCCCACCATTTTTCTGTCATTTTCCCCCAATTTTCTGTCATTTCCTCCTCATTTCCCTCAATTTTTTTGTCATTTTCCCCCATATTCCCCCAATTTCCCTATAATTTTCCCTTTATATTCCCTCAATTTCCCTGCGATTTTCCCCCCAATTAACCTGTAATTTCCCCCCTATATTCCCCCAATTTCCCTGTGATTTTCCCCCGATATTCCCCCATTTTCCCTGTGATTTTCCCCCCATTTCCCTGTACTTTTCCCCCCAATTTCCCCCAAATTTTGCCCCTGACCTGCCCAGGATCGACTCGAGCGTGGAGGACGCGCAGCTGAACGTGGAGGCCGCTCACGGAGAAATCCTCAAATATTTCCAGTCGGTCTCTGCCAACCGCTGGCTGCTGCTCAAGATCTTCCTCCTGCTCCTCCTCTTCTTCATCGTCTTCGTCGTCTTCCTGGCCTGAACCCGCGGCTTTTCCCCCCAAAATCCCGCTCGGACTCGGCCCCGCAGGGCTGCACACGGACACGGGGCTGGGGGACCCCAAAACCCCCTGGGATCCCCCCAAAAAACCCCCTGGGACGCCCCCAGGATCCCCCAAAAACCCCCCTGGGACCCCCAAAACTCCCTGGGATTCCCAAAACCCCCCTGGGACCCCCCCCAGGACCCCCTGAACCCTCCCAGGACCTCCAAGACTCCCCCAGGACCCCCAAAACCCCCCTGAGTCCCCCCCAAATCCCCCTGGGATCCCCCAAAATCCCCCCTGGACCCCCAAAGCCCCCCAGGACCCCCCTTTTCTCTCCCAGGTGGGGGTTGGGGATCCTGGCACTGCTCTGGGACCCCTCCCCAAGGACCACGAGATCCCCAAAAAGGGACTGGGGACCCCCACAGGGCCCAGGACCCCCAAAAAGGGGCTGAGGAGGCCCACGGAGCCCGGGAGCCCCAGAAAGGGGTTTGGGGAGACCCCGGGAGATCCAGGGGGGATCTCTGAGGGGGCTGCAGGACCCCCAAGGGATGGAAGCTGTGAGACCCCCGGGGTTAGGGGTGTCTGTGAACCCCACGGACCCCCCAGTTGGGGGGTGCAGGACCCCCATTGGAGCCCCGGGACCCCAAAAGTGGGGGGGCGGGGGTGGAGCTCCTCACAAATCTGGGGGGGGGGGGCTGTGGTGGGACCCCCACGGGTCAAAGCCTTGGGACCCCATGGGAGCGCTTGGGGTCCCTCTGGGGGGGCTGCAGACCCCCAAAAGGGGCCCGGGGAGCCCATTAAATTACGGGGGTGGGGGGGGCTGGGGGGGTCTGCAGAACCCCCGTCGGAACAGGAGCCCCCCCACACACACACCCGGTAGAGCCTTGGGACCGCCAGGGAGGGGTCTGGGGGCTGCCCCGGACTCCGCGGGGAGCCTTTGGGGCGGCTGCAGCCCCCCCCCCCCGAGCCCCCCAATAAACCCTGGCCCCCCCAAAATTCCTCCTGGTGGTTTTTTCCTCCCGGGCCGGGATTCGAACCCGCGGTCCTAAGGGGGGGGCGGCCGCGGGCACTGCGCCTGCGCGGGGAGCGGCGGGCGGAAGTGACGTCAGCGGGACGCGCGGCGGGGAGGCCGCGGCGGCGGCGATGGCGGAGGAGGGGAAGGGGGGCGGGTACAGCGGTGAGCGGCCCGGGGACACCGGGGACAGCGGGGCAGCGCCGGGGGACGGCGCGGGGCACGCGGGGAGGGCTCCCGGGACAGCCCCGGGCCGCGGCGGGAGCGGGGAGGGAGGCCGGTAGGGCAGGCCCGGGGGGTGGCGGTAGGCCCGGGATGGGGGGAGCGGGGAACGGGAGGGGAGGGGGATACGGGAACAGTACCGGGAGGTGGACACGGGAACGGTACCGGGAGGTGGACATGGGAACGGTACCGGGAGGGGAATACGGGAACCGGGAGCAGCACCGGGAGGGGAGGGGGAGCACGGGAACGGCACCGGGAGCGGGGAACGGCACCAGGAGGGGGGAACGGGAACGGGGAACGGCACCGGGAGGGGGATACGGGAACCGGGAGCGGCACCGGGAGGTGAGAGATCCCGGGGAGGGGCACGGGGTTCTCGGTCCCGGGGTCGGTGATGGTGCCGGGAGAACCGGGAGAGGGGAGGGAGCACCGGGCTGGGAGCGGCGTCCCCGGCCGGCGGCGGTGCCCGGTGTGCGGGACCGGGCCGCTCCCGGTGCTCCCGGCGGGGAGGGAGCCGCGCCGGGACGGGGAGCGGGTCCTGGAACGGGGGAGGGCCCGTGCCGTGCCCGGTGTACCGGGGGGCTGGAGCCGAAAAGGGCGAGCCGGGGAAAGGCGGCGCCGGTCCCGGTCCCGGTGCCATTCCCATCCCCGTTCCCGTTCCTCGTGCCGTGCCCGGTTCCCGTTTTCATCCCTGTTCTCATCCCCATCCCCCGTCCCGTTCCCGCTCCCGGTGCCATTCCCCTCTCCGGTGTCGTTCCCCATCCCCGTTCCCGGTGCCGTGACTGTTGCGGTTCCTATTCCCGGTCCCGTTCCCTTCCCTGTACCCATTCCCGTTCCCATCCCCATTCCCCGTCCCCGTCCCCTCTCCCGGTGCCGTTCCCGGTTCCATCCCGCTGTCCCCGTTCCCGGTGCCATCCCCGTTCCCCTCCCGTCCCCGCAGAGCACGATGACCGCGTGGGCGGCCGGGCGTTCCCGGGGCGGCGGCGGAAGGGCCGGGGGCCGTTCCGGGGGAAGATGTACAGCGAGGGGAGCCCCCGGGGCCGTCCCCGGGGCCGCGCCCGCCCCGAGGACGACGACGGCGACGTCGCCATGGCCGAGCCGCACGACGGCCCCCGCGGGCGGTAGTGAGTGCCGGGCACCGGGCACCGGGGCGGTACCGGGGAGGGCGCGGGAGGGTCACCGGGGCCACCGGGAGGGTACCGGGGGTCACCGGGGGTCACCGGGGGGGTACCGGGGGATCCCAGGGGCTCCCGGGAGGGGTTCTTGGCTGATCCCGGGGGTTTCCCGGGTTATTCCCGGTGATTCCCGGCCACTCCCGGGGTTATTCCCGGTTTATCCCGGTGTACCCCGTCTGACCGATCCTGTTCCCAGTGATTCCTGGGTTATTCCCGAGTTACTCCCGGTTTATTCCCGGTTACTCCTGGGGTTATTCCTGGTTTGTCCCGGTGTACCCCGTCTGACTGATCCCGTTCCCGGAGTTATTCCTGGTTTATTCCCGGGGTTATTCCCGGTTTTTCCCGGGGTTATTCCCGGAGTTTTTCCCGGTTTATTCCCGGTTTTTCCCGGGGTTATCCCCGGAGTTTTTCCCGGTTTATCCCTGGTTTATCCTGCTGTCCCCCTCTGACCGATCCTGTTCCCGGGGTTATTCCCGGGGTTTTTCCCAGTTTATCCCCGGTTTATCCCGGGGTTTTTCCCGGTTTATTCCTGGGGTTTTTCCCGGTTTATCCCCGGGGTTTTTCCCGGTTTATCCCCAGTTTATTCCCAGTTTATCCCCGGTTTGTTCCCGGGGTTATTCCCGGTTTATCCTGGTGTATCCCCGGTTATTCCCGGGGTTATTCCGGGGTTTTTCCCGGTTTATCCCCGGTTATTCCCGCTGTCCCCCCCTGATCCGTTCCCGTGTCCCGCCGGCAGCGTTCCGTACGCGCCGCGCTCCGGCCGCCTGGCCAACATCAACATCACGGTGAAGCGCGAGCCCGGCGAGCGCGGCGGCGGCACCGGCCGCGACGGCGGCAGGAGGAGCTGGTTCAAAATCACCGTACGGGAACGGGAACGGGCACGGGAATGGGAACGGGGAAATGGAACGGGAAAGGGGATGGGGGAATGGAACGGGAAAGGGGACGGGAAAGGGGACGGGGGACGGGAAAGGGGACGGGGGAACGGGAACGGGGAAATGGAACGGGAAAGGGGACGGGAAAGGGGACGGGGGAACGGGAACGGGGAAATGGAACGGGAAAGGGGACGGGGAATGGGAACGGGGAAATGGAATGGGAAAGGGGACGGGGAATGGGAACGGGAAAGGGGACGGGGGAATGGGAACCGGAATGGGATCGGGGGTGGGAATGGGAGCGCGGGAACGGGAAAGGGGATGGATGAATGGGAACGGGGAAATGGAACGGGAAAGGGGACGGGGAATGGGGACAGGGAAATGGAACGGGAAAGGGGACGGGAAAGGGGGCAGGGAATGGGAACGGGAAAGGGAACAGGGAAATGGGAACGGGGGAAATGGAACGGGAAAGGGGACGGGGAATGGGGACGGGGAAATGGAACGGGAAAGGGGACGGGGGAATGGGAACCGGAATGGGATCGGGGGTGGGAATGGGAGCGCGGGAACGGGAAAATGGGAACGGGAAAGGGGATGGGGGAATGGGGACGGGAAAGGGGAATGGGAAAGGGAACGGGGAAATGGGAATGGGGGAAATGGGAACGGGAAAATGGGAACGGGGAAATGGGAACGGCATGGGGGAATGGGAACCGGAATGGGGACGGGATCGGGGATGGGAGGGCAGGAACGGGAAAGGGGACGGGGATGGGAGAACGGGGACGGGGGAATGGGAACGGGGAAGTGGGAACAGGGAAATGGGAACGAGAAAGGGGACGGGGAAATGGGAACGGGGAAATGGGAACAGGAAAGGGGACGGGGGAATGGGAACAGGGAAATGGAACGGGAAAGGGGACCGGCACAGGAAAATGGGAACGGGAAAGTGGGAACGGGAAAGGGGAAATGGGAACGGGGAAATGGGAACAGGAAAGGGGAACGGGGGAACGGGGACGGGATCGGGGATGGGAATGGGAGAACGGGAACGGGGAAATGGGAACGGGAAAGGGGAAATGGGAACGGGAAAGGGGACGGGGGAATGGGAACCGGAACGGGATCGGGGATGGGAATGGGAGAACGGGAACTGGGATGGGAACGGGAAAATGGGAACGGGAAGGTGAGAATGAGGATGGGAAAATGGGGACGGGAAAGGGAAAATGGGAACGGGGACAGGAATGAGAAAATGGGAATGGGGACAGGAAAACGGGAACGGGGTGGGAGTGGGATTGGGAATGGGGACTGGGAATGGGGTGGGAGTAGGGTGTGATCGGGGTGGAATTGGGAATGGGGTGGGAACAGGAATGAGGAGGGATTGGGAATGGAACAGGAATTGGATTGGGAATGGCGTGTGATGGGAATGGGGTGGGAGTAGGGTGGGATCAGGATGGGATTGGGGTGGGATAGAGGTGGGATTGGGAATGGCATTTGGATTGGGATGGGGTGGGAATAAAATGGGGTGGGATTGGGTTTGGGATTGGATTTGGGATTTAGTTTGGGATTGTGGAGTTTGAGCTCAGCTCTCATTCCCTCATTCCTTCTTTGTCTCCCTTCCCTTTCCTGCATTCCCATTCCCCTTTTCCCATTCCCCATTTCCCATTCCCGTTCCCATTCCCCATTCCCATTTCCCCTTTTTCATTTCCCATTCCCAATTCCCCATTTCCCATTCCCATTCCCATTTCCCGTCCCTGTTCCCGTCCTGCCGCTCAGATCCCGTACGGGAAGAAGTATGACAAGTCCTGGTTGCTCAGCTCCATCCAGAACCTCTGCAGCGTCCCCTTCACCCCCGTCGAGGTCAGCGCCGTTTTTGGGGTGGTTTTGGGAATTTTGGGGTGTTTTGGGATCCTGGCCCTGTTCGAGCCCCAGATCCCAAGAGGATTTTGGGGGATTTGGGACCCCATCCCAGCCCCAAATCTTGAGGGGATTTTGGGGTGATTTTGGGACATTTAGGATTCCAGGCCTGTTCCAGCCCCAGATCCTGAGGGGATTTTGGGGGAATTTTGGGAGATTTGGGGAGTTGGCTCCATTCCAGCCCTGAATCCCAAGGGGATTTGGGGGGATTTTGGCTCATTTGGGGTTTTGGCTTCATTCCAGCCCCAGATCCTGAGGGGGTTTTGAGGGAATTTTGAGGTGATTTTGGGGAAATTTTGGGGGATTTGTGACTTCATTCCAGCCCCAAACTGTTGGGGGATTTTGAGGGAATTTTGGGGTGATTTTGGGTGACTTTTGGGGGGATTATGGGGGATTTGTGACCCCAAACCCCACCCCGGTGCCGTGGCAGTTCCACTACGACCACAACCGGGCCCAGTTCTACGTGGAGGACGCAACCACGGCCAGTGCCCTCAAACAGGTGTCCCGGAAAATCACCGACAGGGACAACTACAAGGTGGGGCTGGGGTTTGGGGTTTGTGGGGTTTGGGGTTTGTGGGGTTTGGGGTTTGGGGTTTGTGGGGTTTGGGGGCTGGGGGGTTTGGGGTTTGTGGGGTTTGGGGTTTGGGGGCTGGGGGGTTTGGGGTTTGTGGGGTTTGGGGTTTGTGGGGTTTGGGGTTTGTGGGGTTTGGGGTTTGGGGGCTGGGGGGTTTGGGGTTTGTGGGGTTTGGGGTTTGTGGGGTTTGGGGTTTGGGGGCTGGGGGGTTTGGGGTTTGTGGGGTTTGGGGTTTGTGGGGTTTGGGGTTTGTGGGGTTTGGGGTTTGGGGTTTGTGGGGTTTGGGGTTTGTGGGGTTTGGGGTTTGTGGGGTTTGGGGTTTGGGGGCTGTGGGGTTTGGGGGCTGGGGGGTTTGGGGTTTGTGGGGTTTGGAGTTTGTGGGGTTTGGGGTTTGGGGGCTGGGGGGTTTGGGGGCTGGGGGGTTTGTGGGCTGGGGGGTTTGGGGTTTGTGGGGTTTGGGGTTTGGGGGCTGTGGGGTTTGGGATCTGAGGGATTGGTATTTGTGGGGTTTGTGGGTTTTGGGATATGTGGGATCTGTGGGGTTTGTGGGATTTGGGATCAGGGAAATGGGAACGGGGTGGGATTTATGGGGCTGATGGGATGGGATGGGGTTTGTGGGATGGGATCAGGAAGATGGGAATGGGACGGGATTGGGATGGACACAACAGCCAGAGAGACCGAGAACGTTCTGGAACGGGGCTGGGAACGTTTTGGGGTGTTCTGGAACGTTCTGGAAGTTCCTGACCCCGGCCCACCCCAGGTCGTCATCGTCATCAACTCCTCGGCGCCGCCGCAGTCGCTGCAGAACGAGCTCAAACCCGAGGAGATCGAGCAGCTCAAGGTGGGCTCAGGGGATTTGGGGGGCTTGGAGTGGTTTGGGGGTGGTTTTGGAATGGTTTGGGATGGTTTTGGGGCTCAGGGATGGTTTTGGGGTGTTTTTGGGATGGTTTGGGGTGGTTTTGGGGCTCAGGGTTGGTTTTGGGATGGTTTGGGGTGGTTTTGGGGCTCAGGGTTGGTTTTGGGGTACTTCTGTGGTACTTTTGGGGTGGTTTTGGGGTCAAGGAGTCTCAGAGTTAGTTTTGGGGTACTTTTGGGTTACTTTCAGGGTACTTTAGGGGTAGTTTTGGGCTCAGGGATGGTTTTGGGGCTCAGGGATAATTTTGGGATGATTTTGGGGACGTTTTGGGGGGTTTTGGGATAGTTTGGGGTGGTTTTGGGGCTCAGGGGTGGTTTTGGGGTGGTTTTGGGGCTCAGGGGTGGTTTTGGGGCTCAGGGGTGATTTTGGGGTGGTTTTGGGGATCAGGGGTGGTTTTGGGGTACTCTGGGGGTAGTTTTGGGGTGGTTTTGGGTCTCACCCTGCCCTGCCCCAGCTGTGCATGAGCAAGCGCTACGACGGCTCCCAGCAGGCGCTGGACCTCAAGAGCCTCCGCGTGGACCCGGGTGAGCTCGGGGGGCTCTGGGGGGCTCTGGGGGGCTCGGGGAGGGTTTGGGGGGGCTGCAGGGACCAGCCCTGACCCCGTGTCCCCCCCGTGTCCCCTCTGTCTCCAGACTTGGTGGCCCAGAGCATCGACGTGGTGCTGAGCCAGCGCAGCTCCATGGGGGTGGTGCTGCGCATCATCGAGGAGAACATCCCCGAGGTGGGACCCCAGGCCCCCTTTGGGACCCCCTTCTGCTGCCCCCAAACTCTCCCTGGGCCCCACAACCCCCCCTGGACTCCTCAAATCTCTCTGGCACTTTCCACCTCCAATTTCCCCCCGTTTCTCCCCATTTTTCCCCAATAATTCCCATTTCCCCCCAATAATCCCCATTTTTCTCCATTTTTCCCAATTTCTCACCCAATAATCCCCATTTTTCTCCATTTTTCCCAATTTCTCACCCAATAATCCCCATTTTTCCCTCAATAATCCAATTTTTCCCCCAATAATCCCCATTTCCCCCCCATTTTCCCCCAATAACCCCATTTTCCCCCCATTTCTCCCCCTATAATCCCTTTTTTCCCCCAATAATCCCTATTTTCCCCCCATTTCCCCCCATTTTCCCCCAGCTGCAGTCGCTGAACTTGGGCAGTAACCGCCTGTTCCGCCTGGACGACCTCTCCGAGCTGCCCCTCAAGGCCCCGCGCCTCAAAGCGCTCGACCTGTCCCGCAACGAGGTGGGTGGGCACCCCAAAAACCCCAAATCTGCCCCAAATCTATTCCTGGCACCCCAAAAACTTCAAATCTGCCCCCAAACCTGTCCCTGGCACCCCAAAACCCCCTTGGATCCCTCTCGGACCCCAAAAACCCTCTGAGAAACCCCCCTGGGACCCCAAATCTGTCCCTGGGACCCCAAATTCCCCTCTAGGAGCCCCCAGCCCTCTCCACGAGCCCTCCCCAGGTATGCCCCAGGTGCACCAGCAGCCCCCAGGTTTTGCCCAGGCGTGCCCCAGGTGCCCCAGGTGTGCCCCAGGTGTGCCCAGCTGTGCCCCAGCTGTGCCCCAGCTGTGCCAGCTGTGCCCTTGCAGCTGAAGTCGGAGCGGGAGCTGGACAAGGTGAAGGGGCTGAAGCTGCAGGAGCTGTGGCTGGACGGGAACCCCCTGTGCGACGGCTTCCGCGACCAGGCCAGCTACATCAGGTGAACCCCGAAATCTGGGGCACCCCAAATTCACAGGGACACCCCCGGGACACTCCCTACATCAGGTAGGGGGGGCTGGGATACCCCAAAATCCACAGGGACATCCCCCAGGGACACCCCAAAAATACACAGGTACAGCCAGGCCAGCTACATCAGGTACTGGGGGGCACCCCAAAATCCACAGGGCCCCCCCCAGATCTCCCGAGCCCCCTCAAACCCCCCATGGGGGGAAGCAGCAGGGACAGAATTTTGGGGGGGAAGGGGTGGGGAATGACACCAGACTTCCCCGTCCCCCCCCCCCTAGAATGGGGTTGGGGCAGTTTTGGGGGTCCCCAATAAATTGGGGTTGGGGAGGGGGTTGGGGGGGATTTTGGGGGTCCTGCTGACCACCCCCCCTCACTGTGCCCCCCTCCCCGGCAGCTCCATCAGAGAGAGGTTCCCAAAACTGCTGCGCCTGGTGAGCCTGGGGGGATTTTGGGGAGGATTTTGGGGGACCCTGAGGGGTTTTAGGGGAATTTTGGAGGGCTCTGAGGGGATTTTGGGGGGATTTAAGGGGTCCTTGGGGGGGTCTAGGGTGGTTCTGAGGGGATTTGGGGGGGCTCTGAGGGGATTTTGGGGGGTCCTGAGGGATTTTAGGGGGGCTCTGATGGGATTTGAGGGGCTCTGAAAGGATTTTGGGGGGCTTTGAGAGAGTTTTGGGGCATTTCAGGGGATTTGGGGTGTTCTGGGGGGGCTGTGAGGGGATTTGGGGGGCTCTGAGGGGGTTTGGGGGGGTCTCTGTGGGGATCCCCCTTTCGGGGTTCTCTGGGCCTGGGTTGGGGGGAGTTTGGGAACATCCCCAAATATTTTTGGGGGTCCCCATGGATTCCCCCCCCCAAAATTTCTCCCTGTGCCCCCCCAGGACGGGCACGAGCTCCCCCCCCCCATCGCCTTCGACATTGAGGCGCCGACGACACTGCCGCCCTGCAAGGTGGGACCCCCCGTTTTTGGGGGATTTCCCTCATTTTTGGGGCATTTCCCCCATTTTTGGGGGATTGCCCCTCATTTTTGGTGGGGATTTCCCCTTTTTTGGGGTACCCTCAGGGGGGTCTCACTGTGTCCCCCCCATTTTTAGAGCAGCTACTTCGGCTCTGATGACCTCAAGGCTTTGGTGCTGCGGTTCCTCCAGCAGTGAGTGCCCCCCCAAAAAAACACCAAAAAAACCCCCAAAATCCCCTCAAAAACCTCCTCCAAAAATCCCCAAAACTCGCCTCAATCCACCTCAAAAAACCCCACAAAGCCACCCAAAAAAATCCTCAAAAAAACCCTCCCGAACTCCATTTCCTCCCCAAAAATCCCATCTTTTCCCCCAAAATCCCATTTCCCTCACCCCAAAACCCATTTTTACCCCCTAAATTTCAATTTCCCCCACAAATCCCATATTTTCACCCCAAATCCCCATTTTCCTCCCAAATTCCATTTTTTCCTCTCATTTTCTCTCCAAATTCCTTTTTCCCTCTATTTCCCCCCAAATTCCCATTTTCCTCCTCTCAAATTCCCATTTTCCTCCCAAATTCCCATTTTCCCCCCCAAATTCCCATTTTCCTCCAAAATTCCCATTTTTCCTTCCATTTTCTCCCCAAATTCCTGGTTTTCCCCCCAGATCCCCTTTTCCCCCCCAAAATTCCTATTTTTCCCCCATTTCCCCCCCAAATTCCCATTTTTCCTCCCCAAATTCCTGTTTTTCCCCAAAATTCATGTTTTTCCCCGTTTTTCCCCAAAATTCCCATTTTCCCCTCGTTTTTCCCCCATTTTCCCCAAAATTCTCTTCTTCCTCCCCAAATTCCCATTTCCCCCCCCAAAATTCCCATTTTTCCCCCGTTTTTCCCCCACATTGCCGTTTTTTCCCCCGTTTTCCCCCTGTTTTCCCATTTTTCCCCAAAATTCCTGTTTTCTCCCCAGGTATTACTCGGTGTACGACTCCAGCGACCGGCAGGGGCTGCTGGACGCGTACCACGACGGCGCCTGCTGCTCGCTCAGCATCCCCTACGGCCCCCACACCCCCCCCAGGTGCCCGAAAACACCTCAAAAATACCCCAAAAAGACCCCAAAACCACCAAAAATACCCCCAGAACCAGCCCGGAACACCAAAAATACCCAAAACACCCAAAACCACCAAAAATAACCCCAAAACCAGCCCAGAACACCCCAAAACATCCAGAAAATGTCCCCAAAACCACCCTAGAACACCCCAGAAATGCCACAAAACACCCCAGAAACATTAAACTACCCCAAAACCCACCAAAACACCCAAAACCACGTCAAAAACACCCCAAAACACCCTAAACCCCCAAAACCACCCGAAAACCACCAAAAATCCCCAAACCCCCCCAGAAATGCCTCTAAAAAATCCAAAAACCCCACAGAGAAAAGGGGGTCAGAACAGCCCCCCCAGCCCCAGTAAAATCCCATCAAAATCCCATTAATTCCCCATTAGAAATCCCATAAAAATCCCATTAATTTCCCCGTTAAAAATCCCCTCAAAATCCCATTAATTCCCTGTTAAAAATCACATTAATTCCCCACTAAAATCCCATTAAAACCCTGTTGAAATCCCATTAAAATCTCATTTAAATCCCATTAAAATCCCATGAAAACCCCACGAAAATACCTGTGAAATTTGGATTTCTGGCCCCAGGAACAGCCTGAATGAATATTTCAAGGACAGCCGGAACGTGAAGAAGCTGAAGGACCCCAGTGAGACCCGGGCGGATTTTGGGGCAAATTCGTGCTTTTTTGGGGTTTATTTTTAATTTTTAGGGGTTTTTGGGGGGGTTTAGGGGGATTTTTGGGTCATTTTGACATTTTTTGGGGCAGATTTTGAGGGTTTTGAGACAAACTTTGAGCGATTTTTCTGGGGATATTTTTACCTTTCTGGGGTGGTTTTAGGAATTTTCTAGGGATATTTTTGGGTCATTTTGCTGGTTTTTGAGGCACATTTTGAGAGATATTTCTGTGGATTTCTGGGGCGGTTTCAGAGATACTTTCGGGTCATTTTGACATTTTTTGGGACAAACGTTGAGCGATTCTTCTGCGGATTTTTGGACCGTTCCGAGTCACTTTTCAGCGCTATCCCACCCCATTTTAACCCTTTCTTCCCCTCTCTCCCAGCCATGCGCTTCAAGCTGCTGAAGCACACGCGGCTGAACGTGGTGGCGTTCCTGAACGAGCTGCCCAAGACGCAGCACGACGTGAATTCCTTCGTGGTGGACATCTGCGCGCAGACGGTGAGGGGGGGCTGCAGGGACCCCCGGGGGCGCCCCGCAGCCCCCTGACCCCCCCTGTGTTCCAGAACACGCTGCTCTGCTTCACCGTGCACGGCCTCTTCAAGGAAGGCGAGTTCTGCTCTTATTCTCCTTTCCTCCCTGCTTTTATTGTTTTGCTTTCCTGTTTTTCTGCCTTTTCCCCTCCTTTTTTCCTATTTTTTCCTCCTTTTTCCCTCCTTTTTCCTCCTTATTTTCCTCTTTTTTCCTGATTTTTTCCTGCTATTTCCCTTTTCTCCGCCTTTATTTTTCTGTTTTCTTCCTTTTTCCTCTTATTCCCTCCTTTTTCCTTTTTTTCTCTTTTCTCCTCGTTTTTCCCTCATTTTTCCCTTTTGCCTCCTTTTTCCCTCCTTTTTCCCTCCTTTTTCCCTTTTTTCTCCTGTTTTCCTCATTTTTTCTTCCTTTTTTCCTTTTTTTCTTCCTTTTTCCTCCTTTTTTCTCCCCATTTCCATCTTTTTTCTTCTTTTTTACTTTTTCCACTTTTTTCCTTTTTTTCCCCTTTTCCCCCATTTCCCTTATCCCCCCCCCTTTTTTTCCCTTTTTTTCCCTTTTCCCCCCTCATTTTTCGCTTTTTTCCCCCTTTTCCCTATTTTTCCCCCCTTTTTTGTTTTTTTCCCCTTTTTTCCCCGTTTTTTCCCCATTTCCTGACCCTGCCGTGTGCCCGCAGTGGACGGGAAGTCGCGGGACTCGGTACGAGCATTCACACGGATGTTCATCGCTGTGCCGGCCGGGAACAGCGGGTGAGGATGGCCCCAAAACTGGGCCTGGGCCTAAAACCGGGCCTGGGCCTAAAACTGAGCCTGGGCCCAAAACTCGGCCTGGCCCCAAAACCGGGCCTGGGCCTAAAACCGGGCCTGGGCCTAAAACCGGGCCTGGGCCCAAAACCGGGCCTGGCCCCAAAACCGGGCCTGGGCCTAAAACCGGGCCTGGGCCTAAAACCGGGCCTGGCCCCAAAACCGGGCCTGGCCCTAAAACTAGGCCTGGGCCTAAAACAGGGCCTGGCCTCAAACCCCGTTTTCCCCCATTTCTCCCCCACAAACCACATTTTCTTCTCTCAAATTCCAATTTCTGTCCCCCAAACCCCCATTTTCTCTCTCCCAATCCCCATTTCTCCCCACCAAACCCCATTTTTCCCCCTAAAACCCCACTTCACCCCCAAACCCTATTTTCTCTCCCCAAACCCCATTTTTCCACCCCAAACCCCCTTTTCCCTCATTTTCTCCCCCACAAATCCCATTTCCCCCCCCAACCCCATTTCTCCCCCCCCAAACCCCATTTCCCCCATTTTTCCCCCCCAAACCCCGTTTTCCCCCCCCAAACTCCCATTTTCCCCCCACAAACCCCATTTCCCCCCATTTTTCCCCACTCCCCGCGCCAGGCTGTGCATCGTGAACGACGAGCTGTTCGTGCGCGGCGCCAGCCCCGAGGAGCTGCGCAAAGCCTTCGCCCTGCCCGCGCCCACGCCCTCCTCCAGCCCCGTGCCCACCCTGACGGCCGAGCAGCAGGAGATGCTGGCGGCCTTCGCCATGCAGTCAGGCATGAACCTCGAGTGGTCCCAGAAGTGAGTCCAAAATACCCCAAATTCGCCCAAAGAAATTGAGGAAAACACCCCAGAACTGCCAAAAAATCCCCCTGAAAATGGGTCAAAAATCCCTTCAAGAATGGTTCCAAAATGGCTCCAAAAATGTCTCAAAAATCCCTTCAAAAATGGCTCCAAAGTGGCTCAAAAATCTCTTAAAAAATGGCCTCAAAAATGGCTCAAAAATCCCTTCTAAAATGGCTCAAAAAATGGGTCAAAAATGGCACAAGGATTGCTCTAAAAGCCCTTCAAAAATGGATCCAAAATATCTTTAAAAATGGCTCCAAAATGCCTTCAAAAATTGCTCGAAACGGCCCTAAAAATCCTTTAAAAATTCCTTAAAAATCTCTCCAAAACATCTCTGAAATCTCCCAAAAAATCACCTTGAAAATCCCCCTGAAAATTGCTCAAAAAAAAAAAAACCAAATCCCCTGAAACTCCCCAAAAAACCCCGAAAATCCCCAAAATCGCTGTGGTCCCTCAGGTGCCTCCAGGACAACGACTGGGACTACGGCCAGGCCGGGCAGGTCTTCACCCAGCTCAAGGTCAGTTTGCCCCATTTTTTCTCATTTTTCCCCATTCCCTCCCCCCACCCCCATTTTTTCCCTTTTTTCCTTGTTTTTCTCAATTTTTTCAATTTTTTCCCTTTTTTCCCACCATTTTTTCCCATTCCCCCCCCCCCGTTTTCCCCCCATTTTTCCCATTTCTCACCTGTTTTTTCCCTGTTTCCCCCTTTTTTTTCAGTTTCTCACCTGGTTTTCCCCCTTTTTTCCCCATTTCTCACCAATGTTTCCCGTTTTCCCCCGTTTTTCCCCATTTTTTTCTTTTTTATCCCAATTTTTCCTGTTTTTCACCCATTTCCCCCCCCCATTTTTCTATTTCTCACCCATTTTTTCCCAGTTTTCCCCATTTTTCTCCATTTTTTCCCCCTTTTTTTCATTCTTCTCACCCATTTTTTCCCATTTTTCCCCCCATTTTTCCCATTTCTTGCCTGGTTTTTACTCTTTTTCCTGCTTTTCCCATTTCTCACCCGTTTTTTCCTGTTTTTCCCATTTCTCACAGTTTTTTCCCATTTTTCCTGTTTCTCACCCATTTCTTACCCCTTTTTTCCCGTTTTTCCCATTTCTCACCCTTTTTTCCTGTTTTCCCCATTTCTCACCCCTTATCCCCATTTTTTTCCCCCGTTTTTTTTCCCGTTTTTCCCGTTTCTCACCCATTTTTTCCCGTTCTCTGCCCCAGCTGGAAGGGAAGATCCCAGAGGTCGCGTTTCTCAAGTGAACCTTGGAGATCCCCGCCCCCTCCCCGGGCCCCTGTCCCATGTTCGAGTCCTTTCGATCCCCCCGAGTTTTGTAAATAAACCGATCAATTATTGATTATCGATTAGTGATTAATTAATGATCATTGATTAATCAGCGATGATTGCCCGCGGCGTCTTTAAGGGCAGGGCGGGAACGTGCCAGCAACAAAGATGGTGGCGAGGGCTGCGCGGGGACACAACCTGATTGGTTGAGGCGGGATTGGCTCCACAGCCGATTGGCTCAGCCGCTATGTGAAACCCGATTGGCTGCGGCTCCTCTTTCGCCGGAGCCGATTGGCTGGCGCGCGGCGTGCCCCGGAAGTGCCGGCGGCGCTGCCGTCATGGCGGCGCGGGCGGCGCTGGAGGTGGCGGCGGCGGCGGCGGCGCGGGACGTGGTTCTGTACGAGCACGACCGCAGCCGCTTCTTCCGCCTCGTGGGGCTCTTCTGCGCGGGGCAGGGCCTCTTCTGGGCCTACCTGGCGCACTTCGCCTTCACGGCGCTGCGCCCCGCGCCCGCTCCCGATACCGGTACCGATCCCGGTCCCGGTCACGACGACCCGTTGCGACCCCGCGACAACAAGTGGCGCTTTGCGTTCACGGCGTCCTGCCTCACAGTCGGTACCGCGGGAGCGGGGTCGGGACGGGCTCGGGGCGACGGGAGCGGAACAGGGAGGGGTACCGGGGGTGAACCGGGGGAGAACCGGGGGTGAACCGGAGGAGAACCGGGAGGAACCGGGATCACCGCGGGGTCGGAGGAGCGGGAGCGGAGCCACACCGGGCTCGGGGACCGGGACACCCCGGGGTCACTCCCGGGTCACACCGGGGGCAGGGGAAGGGCTCGGGGGGCGGCACCGGGAGCGAACCGGGACCGGACCGGTCTCGGGGCGATGCCGAAGCTCCGGGGCCGTCCCCAGCGCGTTCCCCCCGGTGTCCCCAGGCTCGCTGACGGTGGCGGCGGGCTGCGTGCTGCCGCTGCGCTCGGTGCAGCGGGTGACGCTGCTGCGGGGCGGTGCCGCCGTGGTGCTGCACACGCCGGGGCCGCTCGGGCTCGGCCGCCGCTCGCTGACGGTGCCGCTCCGGGACGTGTCCGGCCGCGCCCACCGCAGCCAGGCCGCCGCCGCCGTCCCGGTCAAGCTCCGCGGCCGCCCGTTCTTCTTCCTACTCGACACCGGCGGCATCCGCGAGCCCCGGCTCTTCGACGTCACCGTGGGAGCCTTCCGCGGCTTCTAGCGACACCGGGAATACCTTGAGGACACCGGGGGGACACCACGGGGACATCAAGGACATCGTGGGGACAAGGCCCCAACACGGGGACGCGGACCGGACACGGTGGCGGCGGTACCTCCTGACACCCGGTGTCACCCCCGGTCACCTGCGGTCACCCGGTGTCACCTCGTGTCCCCCGGTGTCCTCCCGCCCTGGGCCCAGCCCCACTCTCCCGTCACCCCCAGAATAAAGCCTGGAACCCCCCCCGGCTCTCGGGGGGATTTTGGGGTCACACCGGGATCGTCCCCTTGTGTCACCCCCAACCCACAGGGACATCCTGGGGGGGGCCACCCCCAAAACGCGGGACCCCCGTGTGGTTTGGGGGGGATTTGGGGGTCCCCTCTGCTCTGACGAGGGGATTTGGGGTCCCCCCTGCTCTGGGGGAGGGATTTGGGGTCCCCCCTGCTCTGGTGGGGTGGGGGGGTTTCGGGTCCCTCCTTTTCTGGGGGGTATTTGGGGTTTTTGGGGTCCCGCTCCCCTCCCCCGAGCTCCTTGGCAGGAAGATGGGATCCCAATGGGAACAGCGGCGGGGGCGGGGCGAATGCAAATGAGAGAGCGTAAATTACCATAATCATGAAGAGAGGCGGGGTTATGCTAATCAACAGTCGGTTGGAAACGAGGCGGGGCGAATGCAAATAAAGCGACGGCGTCGGCCAATCACGACGCGAGGCGGGAAAAAAAGCGATGGGCGGGGCTTTTAAACAACACCGCATGGCTATTTGCATAGATAGGCGTGGCTATGCACATTTATTGATCCTTTACTCGCGCAGTGCATTCTGGGAGGATTTTTTTGGGGAGATTTTCGGGATTTTAGGGGTCGCAGCGTGCGGGACGAGGGAGGAAAGCGCGGAATGGGGCGGGGAAGGCGGCCGGGAGCGGAGCAGGGCGGGCGTGGGGGAGACGCGGGGTGTCCGTGAGGTCCCGGCGGGCCGGGCGGGGCCGGTGCGGTGCCGGGCCGGGATCCGGTATCGCTTCTCGGCCTTTTGGCTAAGATCAAGTGTAGTATCTGTTCTTATCAGTTTAATATCTGATACGTCCTCGATGAGAGGACTTCATATTAAACGGATTTTTGGGCTCGGGAGTTGGACCCGGAGCTTGCTCCCTCCGCTCCGCGCATCGTCCCGGTATTGCAGTGCCTCCGGGAACGGTGCACCCCACCGGGGACCTGAAATGGTGAAAAACAGATGGAAAATGGGTCATGTCGCGGTTATATCGCGATAGCCGCCACAGCGTCCCGGTATTGCAACACCTCAGGGAACGGTGCACCCCAACTAAAACCTCATTTGTTGAAAAATACATTTAAATACTTTTATTGTTTTAACGTTTCATCACGGATCTGCCGGCCCGGTTCGGTACCGGATCGGCCCCGCGTTCCCCCCGAGGCTCCGCTCCGCCCGTCACGGCTGCCCCCGCACGTCCCGCCGCGAAATGGCGGCGGCTGCCCCTTCCTGAGGTTAAACTCCTTAATTTAGGGGCTTTCCGGGTGAAAGTGGAGCTTTATGAGAATAATAACAAATGTTAACAGTGTTTAAAGAATTTACAAGGAGGTTTGAAGGGTTTTATTAAATGAATCAGTGAATTCACAACAGCGATAAGGGGAGGGGGGCCACGCGAGTTTCCTGAGGGAAACACCGCCCACTCTCCGCCTCCGCGCTTCTTCCGCGCCGGTTTTCGTTTTCAAACAAAATAAATCTCGTTTATTTTCTGTATTTTATACGTTTTTAACCATTTTCTCCCGCCGGCGGCCCCGCTCGTCCCGCTTCACCCACCGAAACAAAATGGCGGCGGGCGGGCGGGAAAGTGCGCGTCAGGCGAGCGGCCCCCCCCCCCCCCCGCCGCCAATCTTCACCCTCATCCACCAATCGGAGCGCGGCTTTTTCGCCGTCGCTGGGCAGAACAGAGCGGCCGGCGCCAATCAGAAAATCCGAGCGGCGTGGCGCGGGCGCTCGGAGGGAAGGGAGGGGAAGAAGGGAAGAGGGGAAGGGAGGGGAGGAAGGGAAGAGGGGACGGGAGGGGAAGAGGCGAAGCCGCCACATTCGGAGCGAGCGTTACGCACGTAGGTGGGGCTGAGGGGAAAGGGAGGGGAGAGCGGAGCGCGCAACGGCGCCTGCGCGCGGCGCGCGCCGCCCTTCCCGCGCACGCGCCGCGCCTGCGCAGTGAGGCGGCGCGGGAGGGGCCGGGCGGGCGGCGCAGGCGCGGCTGAGGCGGCGGCGGCGGCGGGAGCGGGACGGGCCCGGCGATCGCTCCGCGCTCCGGCCGCCCCCTGCCCTCCCTCCGTCCCTCCCGCGCGGCGCCGGCGGCGCTCCCGCCTCGCGCTCTCGCTCGCTTCTCCCCCCCCGCGCCGTCCCCGTCCCTTCTCCGCCCCCTTCCTTCCGCCCCTGCCCTCCCCTCAGTCCCCGCCCCGCGGCCGCCTCAGGCCCGGCCCGGCCTCGCGCTCCGGCCTCGCCGCCGCCGCCGCCTCGGCGCGCCCGCGCTCCTTCCGCTTCCCTTCCCCTCCCCTCCCTCCCCTCGCCCCCTCCCCCGTTCCCCGCACACCGGCCCCGCCATGGACGTGAAGCGGCTGAAGGTGACCGAGCTGCGGGCCGAGCTGGGTCGGCGCGGCCTGGACGCGCGCGGGCTGAAGGTGGAGCTGGCGCAGCGGCTGCAGGAGGCGCTGGACGCGGAGATGTTGGCGGCGGGGCCCGAGGAAGGCGGCGGCGGCGGCGGAGGAGGAGGAGGAGGAGGAGGAGCGGCCGCGGCCGCCTCGAGCTGCGCCGCGGGGGAAGCGGGGCCGGCGGGAGGCCCCGGCGGGCGGCCCCGCGGAGGGGAGGAGGAGGAGGAGGAGGAGGAAGAGGAGGAGGAGGAAGAGGAGGAGGAGGAGGATGAAGAAGCGCTGCTCGCCGATGAGGACGAAGCGGCCGCCGCCGCCACCGCGGCCCCCGAAGCGGCGGCCCCAGCCCAGCCCGGCCCCCCCCGGGAGGAGGAGGAGGAGGAGGAGGAGGAGGAAGAAGAGGAGGCGGCCCCGGCCGAGCCCGCGGGGCCGGAGCCGCTGCAGCCGCCGCAGGAGCAGCAGGAGGAGGCAGCGGCGGCCGTGGCCGAGGCTGAGGCGGCCGAGGCGGGAGGAGGAGGAGGAAGCGGCGGCGTGAACGGGGCCGAGCGGCCGCCGGAGGAGGCGCCCAGCGGGGATGAAGCGGCCCCGGCCGAGGCTAAGGAGGAGGAGGCGGCGGCGGGTGAGCGGCGGGGAGAGGCGGGAGGGAGCCCCGGGAACGGGAAAGGAACCCCGGGATCCTCAGGAGGGACCCCCGGGACCAGGAACGGGATCCCCAGAACCGGAAAAAGGGCCCCGGGACCGGGAAAGGAGCCCCGGAACTGCGAAAGGAACCTCGGGGAGGGACTCGCGGGACCGGGAACGGGACCCCCGGGATCGGGAGAAGAGGCCGGAAATTCTCGGGAGGGATCCCCAGAAGCGGGAAAGGAATCACGGGACCGGGAAGGGAATTCATCGGGATCGGGAAAAGAGCCCCGAAATCCTCGGGAGGGACCCCGGGACCGGGAAAGGACCCCCGGGATCCTCGGGAGGGACCCCCAGGTGCTCGGAGGGATCCTAAAAATCGGGAAAAAAAACCCCCAAAACCTCGGGAGGGATCCCCAAAATCGGGATAAAAACCGGGAAAAGCTCCGGGAGGGATCCCCAAAATCGGGATAAAGAAACCCAAAATGGGGAAAAGAATCCCCAGACTCTCGGGAGGGACGCCTCACAAATTTCCCCTTTTTCCCAAAATCCCGATCTCGGTGCCATTCCCACGTTTTTGGGGGACAAAGTTGGGAAATAATTCGATTTCTGGCAGGGGAAATTGAGATTTTGGGGATAAAATTGGGATAAAATCAGGATAAAATCTCATTTCCCACTAGAAAAATTGGGATTTTGGGGATAAAATCAGGATAAAATCTCATTTCCCACTAGAAAATTTGGGATTTTGGGAATAAAACCCTGTTCCTGGTAGGGAAAATTGGGATTTTGAGGAAATGGACAAAAAACATGAGAGGAAAATTCCAGGTTTTTAAGGGATAAATTTGGGATGTGAGAAAATTCAGCTTTGAGAGGGAAAAATCCTGATTTTGGTGGATTTTGGAGGGAAAATGTGGATTTTTGAGGGGAAATGGATTTTTGATGGGAAAACTGGATTTTTTTGAGGGAAAATCTGGATTTTTAAAAGGAAAAATCCTGGTTTTTGATGGAAAATATTGATTTTTGATAGGAAAATCCTGGGATTTGAGGAAAAAATCCTCATTTTGAAGGAAATAATCTGATTTTTGATGGAAAAACTACTGATTTTGGGAGAATTTGTAGAGCTTGGATCACCATGGAACATAATTTTATTGGGAATAAAATGAAATTATTCCCATTTTGTCCCAAACTTTGATTTTTTTGGGATAAGAGCTGGAAAATTTCCATTGTAGGACATTGGGAAAATATAAAACCTTGGATTTTCTGGGAATATTTCCACTTGTTGGATTTTTAGGGATTTTTTTTTGCCAAGCAAAGGGAAAAATTGGGAATTTTTTGTGTTCCCTTGGATTTTCCTGTTGGATTTTTCTTTTTTTTTTCTTTGGATTTTCCAGTTTTTAGTGAACCAATGGATTTTGAGCCGGAATTTTTCCTTTTCCATGGAAAATCCCAGGGGAATTTGACATTTTTTTTAGGAAAATTCATTCAAGCCCCAAGAATTTCACAACATTTAATTCATTTTTAAGGAAAAAAAAAAAAATTTAGGCACTTTTCACCACTCTAAAAACTGGGAAAATCCAGAATCCTCACGGAATGCTTTGAATGAAGGAATTTTTGAGGAAAAAAATCTGAATTTTAATCCCATTTCATCCTTCAAATCCTGGAAAAATCCATTAAAGCTCCAAGATTTTCATTGAATACTCACCTTGATTTGATTTTTAAGGGAAAAAAAAAAGAAATTTCAACCAGTTTTTGTCCCTGCAAATCTGAAATTTCATTTAAAGGCCTAAATTTCCCAGGAATTTTTGATTTAATTTACTTTGAGGGGATTTTAATCTGTCTAAAACAAAAAATTCCCATTAAGCCTTTGGCATTCTCATGGAATATTTGGTTTAAATTCAACTTTTAACAAAAAAACCCCAAATAAGTCTGAATTGTAACCATTTTTTGTCCAGGAAATTGGGTTTCTTGGGAAAAGCTGAGATATTTTGGGGTGAAATCAGTAAAATTAGGGACTTTTTTGATTAAATCAGTAAAATCAGGGATTTTTGGGGTGAAATCGATAAAATCAGATTTTTTTTTTTGGGTGAACTCAGTAAAATTGGGGATTTTGGGGATGAAATTGGTGAAATCAGTAAAAACAGGGCTTTTTTGGCGGTAAAATAGTATTTTTTGAAGGATGAAATCAGTAAAATCAGGGATTTTTGGGATGTCTTGGGATAAAATCATGGATTTCTTGGGATTAAATCAGTAAAACAATGAATTTTTTTGGGGTGAAATAAGTAAAATCAGGGATTTTTGGGGATGCTTTGGGATAAAATCAGAGATTTTTTGGGGATAAAATTGGTGACATCAGTAAAATCAGCGATTTTTGGGGTGAAATCAGTAAAATCAGGGATTTTTGGGGGGTTAAATAATTTAAATCTGGGATTTTTTTTGGGATGAAATCAGTAAAATCAGGGATATTTTGGGGCTGGTTTGGGGTTAAATCTGGGATATTCTGGGGTAAAATCAGGGATTTTTGGGGTAAAATCAGGGATGTTTTGGGGTAAAATCAGGGATATTTTGGGATGAAATCAGTGATATTTTGGTGTGAAATCTGGGATAATTTAGAGTGAAACCAGGGATTTTTTGGGGTTAAACTGGGGCTGTTTTGGGGTTAAACCCGGCCTGGTTTGGGTCAAACCCAACCTAGTTTGGGGCTGGTTTGGGCTAAACCCAGCTGGTTTGGGTTAAATCCGGGGGTTTTTGGGCTGATTTGGGTTAATCCGGGGGTTTTTTGGGTTAAACCTGACCTGATTTGTGTTAAACCCGGGCTGTTGTGTCCCGTTCCAGGGGAGGAGGAGGACAAGGCCAGGGCTGGTTTGGGTTAAACCTGGCCTGGTTTGGGTTAAACCTGGGCTGTTTTGGGGCTGGTTTGGGTTAAACCCGGGTTGTTTTGGGGCT